CAAACCTTGGCAAGCCGCCTTTTGGAAAAGTCGTATCAATCACCGTTAAAAATAAGTTGCGAAATTGCGCGCGTTGGAAGAAATTTTCAGTTCTGTTTTTGGATTTTGTTTTATAAACACGGACATGATTCGTGTTGCGCAATTTCACTTGCAAATATTTATGCGAAACTGGTGTTTGCGAAGAAACAGAAAACAGCATCTTTTTGCGAAAAGCTTTATTTAAAAATTTCAGTGGGAGCATTTCCGTTTCAATTGGATCGGAATTTGGCACGTAGCATGGAAAAGACGAATATTTTTAACGAGCACTTTCGAACATCCTGTAAATTTGGCGGTAAAATATCAAATTTTGGCGAAATGTTTTCAGTTGTTTCAGAAGCATCTAAAAAAAAAAATGAAAATTGGCATTTTAGGAAATTTTAAATACATATTTAGTTCGATTTTCAAGAATTCAACTTCACTTTTATCTGATACATAAGGAAAATTCTTAAAATTAAGTTGTTTAGGAGTACCAAAAATGAAAGACAAAAAAAAGTGAAATATAGCAGGATACAAAATGATAAACATACAGGGTGATGAAAAAATGACGTATCTGCTCGATGGAACATTGTTAAGAAGGCTTTGTAGAACTCGAAAAAAATGGTCAAAAAAATCCCTGCAGCAAACTTTTGAAAATATTGAACGTCAAAGCTGAAAAATTAACTTCGTAATTCTGATTTGCTTCAATGAACTGCATAGACAGTTAAACAATTCATTTTTTACTGTTGACAGATGCATTTGTGACAATTTTTATTGCGATTTTAAATTTTCAGTTAAATTCAAATTAAAAAATTTTGAAGTTTAATATTTTTAAAAATTTGGTTCAGAGTTTTTTCAAGTTCTTCAGAGCCTTCCTAACAACATACCATGGAGCAAATACCTCATTTTTCAACTCTGTATTTCTCCTGAAAAAATATAGTGTTTTGAATCCTAAATTTAGTAAACCAAGAAGTCTAAATGTGCGATGTTCAGATTCCACTGTCGCATCGAAAGCTATACTATTAATCAACATTAAATTCCGGGTGATTATTAATGACTGAAGCAAATTTTTGGGTTGGCAATTCTGAATTATAAGCAGGAGTGTTGGCATGCCAGTTCAGAGTTGTCAATTTTGACATGAGCGCGCCTAAAAAGCCAATGAGAAAATGGCAACTCGTGAATTGGTGCCCAAAAGTTCAATTTTACATCAGGTGTGGCATCATAAAATTTTAAATATGTTGCCAACCTGACAAAAAAAAACACAAACTCGTTCGGTATTAATTATGACTGATTTCGTATTTTTTTGGTTGTGTCTCAAATATCAGAAGTAGAAGTTCATTGGCTGTATGAAAGCAACAAAGTTAGGAGTAATTATTTTGTGTAAATAGATGGGTTTTATTTGCTTAACACTGTCAAAATTTTAGCGTCATACAGTCTGTCATAAACTTTTGACAGTTTTTGACACAAGCTTAATCAGTCAAACACCAGTAGTCTAATACTATTTTCAGGATTTTCAGAATTTTAACTAAATTCATTTGATAATTATCAACTTAAAATGAAGTTGTGATCTGAACTTGTTTATACACTTACTCATTAGACTTTACGATTGAAGCAAATTTTTGGGTTGGCAATTCTGAATTATTGGCAGCAATATTTAGATGTCATTTGACAGTTGTCAGTTTTGACATTCATGCCCAGAATTTGAATTTGACATCAGATATGCCACCATAAAACTTTAAATATGTTACCAATCTGTTTACAGCAAAAATTTTAAGTGATATAATTAAAAAGATACAATTAAAAAAAAGTAGAATTATGTATCTATAGCATACTCAAATAATAAATGGTCATTGTCGTTCAAATTGTCTCCCTAATATTTAAAATCAAAAATTTTTGGAAAAAATATTTTCGACAACGAATTTGAGTCTTCAGTATTTGAAAACGAAGTTCTAGAAAATATTCGTGTTCATTTGGGAAAAAATACAATTATAACAACAACAAATGAAATATCCAAAATTTACCTGATATTATATTTGATATTTTGTTATAATTAATCGAAGGTTCGAAGACATGTACAGGATGTCTGTAACTTATCACAACTGCAATTATCTTTTGGCAGCTTGTCAAAAATGAGAATCGAACTAGTAGTCGTTGACAACTAACTGCATGTCACTATAAAGCTAAGCGGAAAATTTAAATATGGTTAATTATTAATTGTTATTTAAGTATAACAACTGTGTATAGACACTGTTTTTTGAAATATCGTTACCCTAGGAGAACAGGTTCCCATTGATGACAGGTTTAAATTTTTTTATGGAAAACAATGAAGGTGCTAATATACTATCACAAAACTTAGAGGTTTTATTAGTAAAGTAAAGTAATTATCTATCTGTTGAACACTTGAGGACTTTAACTTGAGGGTTTTTGTCTGCAGTAACCACTTTGTACTGGTAAAAATTTTACTTTAAGAACGTCGAGCATAAAATCTCGCAGAAATTCGCTTCTTTGGAGGACACATCATAAGACGTCATTTAAAAAAATATAACTAAATTTACGTCAGTCGCAGTGCATTGCAGGTGATAAAAGACCACCACGTTGTTGCATCGCTGTGAAAATAAATATATGAGAGTGTTTTATCACCAATGGCTATAAAAAAGCATCGTGATGTTTTTCCACTGGCTGGAATTGTCTAAGTCGTGAAAGTTTGATTAACTTAATTGTTGAATGAAGAGGTTATCCTTTATAAAATGACCGAATTGAAATACGTAAGAAAAAATGTGATCTAGAGAGACTATGCTCAACACTGATAAAATTTGATTTGAACAGGTTTTGTAAAATACGGTGATTCTTACTAATTTTAACTTTTGTTTTTTCTCAAATTAAAACTAATTTTAAACTAAAAGGCAACAAGTGTCACCTCAATTAATTAGTTATTAGTTAATCTTGACCTGGATTATTTGAGAATACATTCTGGTAGCAAATAGAATAAATACTTTTGCAGATTTTTTTTATGACATTTGCTGTCATGCATCACATTTTCAACTTATATCTTTCATACTATCAAAACATATGTCATAATATAAATGACAGCCTTGCTTGGTCAAAGTAAGTCTTAATTTTCGTCACAATGTCAAACAAATGGATAAAACGAGCTTTTCTTCAACAGCTGAACGGAAGGGGGTGTCACTTAAAACGTTTTTCTCGTATTGGAGAAAATTTGTCATTTCTGTTGACATTATTAGGTTGCCTTAACACGACCTTAAAACGGCCTTTTCACATATAGGCCTATTGGTACTGTGACGTCAAATAAAAATAAGTATCACTTCATGATATATGTTAATTGCAGTCACAAAGTGAGCTGAAATACTGGAGTGATGGGACAATTATTAGTGTACACTCTGTATGAATTATAATTTACACAATACATCTAACATCATGTTTATAGTCTCTCAAAATAACCACTGTTTTTAATGATTGTTATGATAAATCACTCACCATAATTTTGCACTATATGTTAATTAACACTCAGTTCACTGGATACGTTTTTTAAAATGGACGTCGATGATAGCAACTAAATGAAAAAAAAATAGTCAAGAAAAAGTATCTGCATTATGTAAAAGTGTAAAAGTTTTTCGATAAGATTTTGCAGCTATTTATATTTCGGCAGAATTCAAGAAAAAATGATAAAAATCAAAGATCTTATCAAATGAAGATGGCACAAATCCTCAGACGTTGACCCTACATCTGTTTTTATTTTCGTAACAAAGTAGTTTTTTTGAGCATACTTTTCCAATCTCGGACCCCTGAAATCACCATGTTGAACCCATCTGTTCCAACTCCATCGCTCAGTAATAAGCGCAAAAAAAAAACAACAACCGTAGACAATACCGACGTCAGATCACTCTCTCTCGCAATTGCATAACATTAACACTATTAATGAACTAATTAAGTAAACATTATCATTATAGCTTGTTACGTTTCCTCAAACAACCAACTAACCGAAACACCTATAAACCGGACGCAATTGAACCGGAGAATAACGTACTGAGTGCTCACTCAACTCCTGTCAAAATACCGTAAGCCCAATTACCGTCATTACATGTTTGTGCCGATTCTAACGGAACTGGGAAAAATTTCCAACATAAAAGTCGCAAAAATTCGTCAGCTGGGAAAGCACGTGAAAAATTCTTAATCCTGGCCTGCGCCCGATAAATTTACATAATTTATGAAGCGCGCTAGCATCTCATCGAGTGCTCCCATTGGCACGATAAAAATAGGTGCTCCTAAAATGGACGGTGTAACGCGATCCAAGTCGAAAATAGTCGCTGCCCGGTCGTCCAGTCGCCTCACTCCGACTCTGTCATCCGAAAAATGCCGCTAGCAGGCAGACAATTTCTTTTTCCGAGGTTTAGGGGAAAGCGGGAAAGTCAAAACATAACCTTGGGTGGTTTATGGGGACATCCAACTTTTGTTTAGGCTTTTCGCGCCAAATCACTTGAGAGCGGCTGATAACGATTAAAAATATAAGAGGAGCTTGAACTTAACCGTCTCAAAAAATCAAGGTGATATGCTGCGAAAATAACGTTACATAACGTACATAAGGTGCCGCCAGTGGCCAAATTTAAACCCTTTATAAATCCAATTGCGGACTTGGTACGAACTCGTCCGGTGTGATTGCTGGAATTTGAGTTATTTAGAAGAGATTTAGCAAATTCTTGCCTCAAACCAACCCACCAAATCGTAGTACCGATTGGGGTTGGGTGGTGCATCTTCTAATACACCCGCATGTTAAAGAAAAGCAAGTAACGCCATCTTAGCTAGCATGATTTCTTCAAAGCCAAGTTACAAAGAATTTATAAAATTAAGTCGCATGTAAAACGGACCTAGCTCTCAATCTTCCGATTTTCCGGCTTTCTTAACCAAACATTAAAAGACTGAATCTATGGAAGCTCAACCCTTGACTAAAACTCTTTTACTTCTTTCAGTGCAAGGCGGCCAGATCCAGCAACAGGGCTATCAGCAGATTGCCGGATTCGGCCCCAACGCCCAACCCCCTGTTTTCGAGAAGGTCTTTAGCAATGCTCGTTTTGCCCAAGGAGGCGTGGCATCCTTCGAAGGTCGCGTCACCGGCAAACCGCAACCGGAAGTAACTTGGGCCCGCAAAGGCGCCCCCCTTCTCTCATCCAATAAGCACCGACTAACCTACAACGAAACGACTGGAGACATTACGTTCCAGATAAACCAAATCGGCCCAGGCGACGAAGGCGAATACGTCTGTACGGCCAAAAACCAGTATGGCGCCGCCATATGCTCGGTATTCATTCAACCGGAAGGCTTCCCGATGCCTCAGAGGCAGGCCTTCCAACGACACGAACAAACCACGACCTACTCGAATGGGACTTTCGTCCAAGAAGACTTTAAAATTGATACTTTCGAGTACAGACTGCTCCGAGAAGTGTCCTTCAGGGAATCGATAACGAGACGGTTCGTCGGCGAGAGTGATTACCAGTTGTCGACGACAGTCGAGAGGTCGTTGGGTCCACCCGCTCCACCACAAATCTCGCAGAAGCCGAGGAATTCCAAGCTGCTTGAAGGGTCAGATGCGGTATTTTCCGCCAAAGTATCCGCCAATCCGAGACCCAGGATCACCTGGTTCAGAAATGGCCAAAGAATCACAGAAACGTCCAAATACGAGTCTAGTTTCTCGAATAACCAAGCGACGTTGAGAGTCAAACAGGCCACTTCTGAAGACTCCGGACATTACACCTTGTTGGCAGAAAATCCACAAGGGTGTATCGTTTCTTCGGCTTACTTGGCCATCGAACCAGTCACCACCCAAGAAGGCTTGATCCATGAATCCACCTTCAAGAGCCAGCAAACCGAAAGCGAACAAACTGATACTGGAAAGACCTTAGCCCCCAACTTCGTGCGAGTTTGTGGCGACAGAGATGTCACCGAAGGAAAAATGACCCGTTTTGATTGTCGAGTCACCGGAAGACCTTATCCGGAGGTTACGTGGTACATTAATGGTCGCCAGGTCACTGATGACCACAACCACAAAATTCTCGTCAACGAGTCAGGCAATCACGCCCTCATGATCACTACGGTTAGTCGCATAGATTCCGGTGTGGTCACTTGCGTGGCCCGCAATAAAACCGGAGAGACATCCTTCCAGTGCAATTTGAATGTTATCGAGAAGGAGCAAGTGGTAGCGCCTAAGTTTGTTGAACGGTTCACCACTGTCAATGTAAGAGAAGGAGAACCCGTTTTGCTTAACGCCAGAGCCGTTGGCACCCCCACCCCACGAATCACTTGGCAGAAGGACGGTGTCCCTTTGTCTAGTAGTCATGAAATCAGAATCGCGATTGACGGTGGAGCCTCTTCCTTGGATATTCCAAGGGCCAAGGCGTCGGATGCTGGTTGGTACCAATGTACCGCACAGAATGTGGCCGGCTCCACCGCGACTCGCGCCAGGTTGTTTATAGAGACACCTCAAGGTCCCGCACAAGAACCGAGACGCTTACATCTACCCCGACCGACGAAAGTCATCGAACCTGAGTAAGAAATCTTTATTTTTCATGAATCAGTTTTTACGAAATGTTTGCAGACCCGAACCTGGTCCAGAAGTGATCTACCTCCGTCATGTTGAACGCGCGAAGCCGCACGCTGCGGCTCCCGAAGAAGATAGGGTGTATCCCCCACCCCAGTTTATTATTCCGTTACAGGACGCAGTTCAGTTTGAAGGAGGCAAAATTCATTTCGAGGCCAGGATTGAACCAGTTGGAGATCCCACCATGCGTGTGGAATGGTTCGTTAATGGAAGACCCCTAGAAGCTAGTAAGTACTTGAAAAACACAAACGAACTTTCGGTAACCGCTCAATTCCAGGTTCCCGAGCCACTATAGTGTTCCGTTTCGGCTTCATCGCCTTAGACCTCATCAGTCTTGTTTTAAGAGATAGCGGCGAGTACGTTTGCCGCGTGACTACCGCGACCGGCTGCGTGGAATCCAGAGCTATGCTCAGCGTTAATCCCCGCGCTTCTATTGAACAGACGAGTCAGCACCCAGACAGTCTGAAATACATCCAACAACTTGAAGATTACTCCAAATACCAACGAAGCGAAAGCCTCGAGGAGTCAATCAACCAGAAACCTCACTTCATCCGTCCACTCCAAGATCTTGGCGAACTGCAGGAGGGACGCAACGCGCATTTCGAAGCGCAACTTACCCCAGTCAGTGACCCCACGATGAAAGTGGAGTGGTACAAAGATGGCCGACCAATCACTGCCAGTTCAAGAATCACTACCATCTTCAACTTCGGCTACGTCTCTCTCAACATAATGCACCTACGGGCCGAAGATGCAGGTTCTTACACTGTGCGAGCTGTGAATAGGCTCGGGGAAGCTATCAGCAGTAGTACACTGCAAGTTTATGCCAGGTCTACAGTCACCGGAGATTTGGGAATTCCGGAACAACAAAGGTAACACTGACGAATTCATACAACTTTTCACTACATTTGTGGGTTACAGATACATCGAAAAAGTCGAAGAGTTGGAAGCTTACCAACAACAACAACACCAAAAATACGTTTTAGAAACGCCCGAAAGTTCCCAACCTCCAGAATTTAAAACGCCAATTAAAGACCAGATAGGTATCCGCGAAGGAGGTTTCGCGCATTTTGAAGCCAGACTGGAACCCGTGGGAGACTCCACTCTTAAGGTTGAATGGCTTAAGGATGGTCGACCTGTAGAAGCGAGTTCGAGAATCACCAGTTTCTTCAATTTCGGTTACGTCGCGTTGACCATCAAAGACGTAACGATCCACGATGTGGGTAATTACACTTGCAGGGCGTATAACGCTCTCGGCCAAGCCGTCACCAACGCGCAACTGAGTGTGGTGAGCAAGAAAGATATCATTTTCGACTCGCAACATCCTGGCGGCCTTGAAAAAATTCAGTATCTTGAAGATACGAGCCGCTTCAGTCGCACCTCTAAAGAAGAGGTCACAGTTACACAAAAACCAAGGTTTTTGGGACCACTTAAAGGTACTAATAAGATAGTTGAGGGCCAACGTGCGCATTTTGAGGCACGTGTTGAGCCTCAAAGTGATTTGACTTTGAAAATTGAATGGTACTTTAATGGCAAACCCATACAGAGTGCTAATAGAATACAAACATATCATGATTTCGGGTACGTGGCACTCGACATCACTAGTGTGAGGGAAGAAGATTCCGGAACTTACACAGTCGTTGCAAGAAATGCTTTAGGTGAAGCACAGTTGTCAGCCAGCATGGTTGTTGAAAGTAAGTCATCACCACAAACACCGTACCTTGTCAAATAATAATTAATCGTTATCCGTTTAATTACAGCACGTGCCAGCATTGACACTAGAAGCATGCACCGCTCGGCTTTCGACAAGACACAAAGACTTGAAGAATCCAAATTCGTAGAACCACACTACGACATTGTTGAAACATCAAAATCTAAACCCATTTTCGTCGTACCTCTCTCTGACCCACAACCTCTAAGTGAGGGACGCAACGTTCATTTAGAATGTCGCTTGGAACCAATGGGAGACCCCACCATGAGAGTTGAGTGGTTCTGGAATGGAAGACCTATCACCGTAGGTTCTAGATTCAGAACATACAACGACTTTGGATTCGTCGCTCTCGATATTATCCACGCCACCGCTCTAGATTCTGGAGAATATACAGTACGAGCTGTCAATCAACTCGGCTCTGCTCATACCTCTGCCTGTGTTCGAGTAATCGAACGATCCGACATCATAACCGAAACCCAACATGAACAATCACTTGAACAAATTCAAATGCTTGAAGATTCGTCCAGATACCGTAAACACGTGAATGAGGACGTTACAGTTTCACAAGCTCCTCAGTTCACCCGTTCTTTGCATAACATTGAAACCGTTGAAGGCACTAACGTCCATATGGAATGTCGTCTTCAACCAATCGGTGACCCCAGCATGAGAGTGGATTGGTTTTGTAACGGAGTACCCGTAAAAACCGGTCACAGATTCCGTCCAGCCTACGATTTTGACTACGTCGCCCTCGATCTCCTTAGCGTTTATCCATCAGATTCCGGAATATATACTTGCCAAGCTCGCAACCAACTAGGCGAAGCTGTAACATCATGCTCGGTAAAAGTTATCGCAAAAAAGGATTTGCTTCTGGAGACGCAACATCCAGCAGGTCTTGAGAAAATACAATACCTTGAAGACGCTTCCAGATACAAGCGTACTGAATTTGTTGACGAACAGGTCACAGTTAAACCCAAATTTGTCACCCGTCCTAAGAACCTAGAAAACATGGTTGAAGGCCATCATGCACACTTTGAGTGCAAACTGGAACCCGTCACTGACCCAAATTTGAAAGTCGAGTGGTTCAAAAACGGACGACAGATTACGATTGGACACAGATTTAGACCGATCCATGATTTTGGATACGTCGCTTTAGACATCGTCGACTTGATTGCCGAAGACTCTGGTACTTACACCTGCAGAGCCACCAATATGATGGGTGTCGACGAAACTACATGCGTTCTTAGATGTAGAGCTTCCGGTCAAATTATTACAAGCACTCAGAATGAAATAGGTCTGCAACAAATCCAACATTTGGAAGATCGCTCCAAATACCATCGCGCTGAAGAAATAGAAGAGCGCACTACTCAAGCTCCAATCTTCACTACTTCTCTGAAAAACATTGACATTAAAGAAGGTCAGAGGGCCCATTTTGAGTGCAGGTTGATCCCAGTGTCCGATGCTACGATGAAAGTCGAGTGGTTCCACAACGGGCAACCATTAAAATCTGGTTCAAGGTTTACTGAAACTAACAACTTTGGTTTCGTCGCCTTAGATATTTTGTACGCGTATCCAGAAGATTCCGGTACTTACACGTGCAGAGCTACCAATATTTTGGGAGAAGCTGTAACCTCAGCCGTCTGCAACGTCCATTCGAAGAAATCTATTTATTCAGAATCCGTCCACGAGGGCGCTCTTCAACGTTTGACTCAATTGGAAGATGCTTCTCGATACCAGAGACAAGTCGTTCAAGAAGAAGTCGTTAATCAAGCACCAGTTTTTACTTTACCGATCAAGGACTTGAGAGTCGCTGAAAATCAAGCTGGTCATTTCGAAGCCAGATTAATTCCAGTCGGAGATGCAAGACTCAAGGTTGAGTGGCTTCGTAATGGAGTACCAATTCAAGCTTGTAAGTTGTGTGTTCTTTGGAAAGCATTACTTTTAACAATTCGTTTCAGCTAACCGACTCACCACCATGCACGATTTCGGTTACGTAGCCCTTAATATGAAATACGTCAATCCTGAAGACTCAGGTACCTACACTTGCCGCGCTGTCAACGATTTAGGTGAAGCTGTAACTTCAGCCACCTTGTTCGTCCAATGTAAGTTAACAAAGACGTTATTAGAACACCACTAATTCACATTTTGTAGCCAAAGCTTCCCTTCAATTGGAATCACAGCACGAAGGCGCTTTGCAAAAACTCCGCCAACTGGAAGACTCCACCAAGTACCAGCGCCGTGAAGAAGAAGAAGTCATTGTAACTCAAGCTCCTAAATTCAGTGTCCAACTGAATGGACCAACTGATCTAATTGAAGGACAAAGCGCTCACTACGAGTGCCGCATTGAACCATACCCTGACCCAAGCATGAAGGTTGAATGGTTGCATAACGGACAACCTTTAACAACTGGACATAGGTTCAGAACAGCATACGACTTTGGTTTTGCCAGTCTTGACATTCTCACAGTCTATGCTGAAGACTCTGGAGAATATACCTGCAGAGTGACCAACCGCTTGGGTCAAGCACAGTCGTCAGTAAATACCAACGTTAAATGTAAGCCTTAGAAAAAAAACATGTCTTACTTTTACTAACACTCCTTCATTGTAGCTAAGTCATCTATAATTCGTGAAACTCAACACGAAGAAGCTTTACAAAAGATTCAACACCTTGAAGATGAATCTCGCTACAAGAAAGTAACTCAAGAGGAAGCTATTTTACTAGAGAAGCCGCAATTTGGTCGTGGCTTAAAAACCATTGAGAACCTACCTGAAGGTTCTAGTGCCCATTTGGAGGCCACCTTAACACCAGTCAATGATCCTACAATGAGAGTAGAATGGTTCTGTAACGGCCGTCCCATTCAAACTGGTCATCGTTTCAAAACCACCTACGACTTTGGTTTCGTAGCCCTTGATATTCTTTACGCTTATGCTGAAGATTCAGGAACTTACATGTGCAGGGCAAGAAACGCAGCCGGTGAGGCTGTTACCACAGCCAACGTTGAAGTAATTGCCAAATCCGGACTGTACCTTGACACCATGGATGAACAAAGACTTAAGAAGATCCGTGATCTTGAAAGCTACGAGCGCCCCAAAAAGGAAGAAGTGGAAGCCCCACAACAACGTCCGGTCTTCCTTACGCCATTGGTCAGCCTCGAAAATCTAAAAGAAGGTGACCACGCACATTTAGAATGTAGAGTGGAACCAGTCAACGATCCTAACCTCAAGATAGATTGGTTCGTCAACGGCGTTAAACTGAAAGCAGGTCACAGGTTTAGGACAACCCACGACTTTGGTTACGTTGCTTTGGACATATTGTACACTTACGCCGAAGATAGTGGCACTTACATATGCAAAGCCACTAATTTAGTAGGAGAAGCTGTTAATACATGCACTATTAAAGTCGGTGGTAGGAAGAATATCCTGCTGGAAACTCACCATCCTGAAGGTCTTGAAAAAATAAGAGAACTAGAGGCCCAAGGTCGTCCTACTCGATTGGAGGTCGAGGAACCTATCCCAACGCCTCCTCGTTTGGTAACAGAACTACGCGGCACCACCGAAATATATGAAGGCCAAACTGCGCACTTTGAAGCGCAAGTGGAACCAATCCATGATCCTAACCTCAGAATTGAATTTTATCACAACGGCAAACCTCTACCTTCTGCCGCCAGATTCCACATTACCTTCGATTTTGGTTACATCGCTTTGGATATCGGACATGTGGTACCCGAAGATGCTGGTGAATACTCAGTCAAAGCCATCAATAATCTAGGACAGTGCACATCTTCAATCAACTTGAAGGTCATCGCTAAAGATAACATCATCTTAGAGTCTCAGCGACCTGAAGGTTTAGATAAAATCAGACAGTTAGAAGAACACGTGCCTTACAAGAGACCTGAACATGAGGAACCAGCCACAAGGCAAAGACCAGTCTTTACCCAACCTCTTCAGAACATCGACTCTATTCCAGAAGGTCAAACGGCTCACTTTGAATGCCGCCTTATCCCAGTTGGTGATCCTACACTCAAAGTGGAATGGTTCCGCAACGAAAAACCTTTGGAGGATAGTTCCAGAATCACAAAGGTGCATGACTTTGGTTTCGTCTCCCTTGACATCACACACGTTCGTGATGAAGACGAAGGTGTCTACATCTGTCGGGCTTCCAATCCTCTGGGAGAAGCTGTCACGACTGCTTCTATGAAAATTAGAAGTAAGTACATTTGATTAAAGCAATTTAGTAAAATTATAAAAATCGTTTTTACAGCCAAAGCCAGCATCCAGTTGGAAACTCAACACCCAGAAGCTCAACGCAAGATTGCTCAGCTCGAGCAACCTCTCGCTCCACGCCCAGAAGAACCAGAAAGACATTTCGAGAAACCCATCTTTACTCAAATTCTCACTGGGCCTACAGAATTGTGGGAAGGACAACATGCCCACTTCGAAGCTAGAGTCGTACCAGTTGGTGACCCCAATTTGCGCTTCGAATGGTACGTCAATGGAGTTGAGCTCAAGCTGGGTTCCAGATTTAAAGTAACCCACGACTTCGGTTTTGTCACACTCGACATTATGTCTACGGTACCAGAAGACTCTGGAGTTTACATGTGCAAAGCTATTAACAAGTCCGGAGAAGCCGTGTCGTCAATCTCGATGAAAGTTAAGTCTAAATCCAACATTGTAGGAGATACACTACAGCCCGACGCATGGCAGAAGATCCAGCTCAAAGAGGCTGAAATGAACAAAGTACCTGAAATGTTCGTGGACACCACCCCCCAGCAACCTCCAGTTTTCACTACCCATCTTCAAAGTTACGATAAACTGGTTGAGGGACAACACGTGTATCTCGAAGCTCAAGTCGAACCCAGAGCTGATCCAAATCTTAGAATCGAATGGTTCAAGAATGGTGTCACCTTAACCACCGGAACGAGATTGCGTAGTACATTCGATTTTGGTTTGGTGACTTTGTCCATTAATGGATTGAGAGATGATGACTCGGCAATTTACACCTGCAAGGCTACCAATTTGTTGGGTGAAGCCATTTCAACTTGCACGCTCAAAATTGAAGACCGTCATTGGCTACTCGGCCAGACTCTTCACCCAGATGCTATCCCGAAACTTGAGGCTTTGGAAAGACCGCAAGAACCTCGTGCTGAACAAGCAGAACCAACATACGAGCTTCCGATATTCATCAGCCATTTGAACAATGTCGAGTGTATGGAAGGGGATAACGTTCACTTCGAATGCAACGTGGAACCTTCCAAGGACCCCACTCTCAAAATCGAGTGGTTCGTCAACGGGAAACCTCTACCGTCTGGTACAAAATATAAGTCGACTTACGACTTTGGATACGTAGCACTTGACTTAAATCATGTCTATGAGCACGATGCCGGAATCTATACTTGCAAGGCCACCAACAGCAAGGGTTCAGCAACCACTTCTGGTTCACTCCGCGTTACGTCAAAAACCAACATTTATCTTGACACCCAGCATCCACAAGGAAAAGCTGGTTTAGAAGCCATCTTGGACACTGAAGAGGCATTCGCTGCTAAATACAGACGTGCAGACAGCGCACCTGAGCACGATTTCGCTAAACCGATCTGGACTACCCCACTGAACCCTGAATTTAGACTTGTAGAAGGCCAAGCTTTACACTTAGAGGGTGTCGTAGAACCTAAAAATGATCCTAATCTTAAGATCGAATGGTTCTTCAACGGCAAATCTTTGGACCATGGTACTAGATTCAAACTCACCAGCGACTTCGGTTTTGTCACTCTTGACCTCACCGATGTCTACGAAAGAGACCAAGGCATTTACACCTGCAAAGCGTCCAACAAAGTCGGTGAGGCTTTCACTTCTACCACGATCTACTGCACAAGCAAAGCCAACCTGATCGAACGCACTCAACACCCGAAAGGACAAGAAGGATTGGAGAAAATACAAGATCTTGAGGATTCTCTCAACAGACCTGAAGCCCAAATTCCGGAGAAGGATGAAGGACACGCACCTGTGTTTACTTCAGAGTTTACTCACCTCACTAATCTTAGTGAAGGCGAAATTGCTCATGTTGAAGCTGGTTTAACACCCATCGGGGACCAAACTATGGTGGTTGAGTGGTTCTACAACGGCAAAACCATCGAAGCCTCCCATCGTTTCAGAACCGTTCACGCTTTTGGAATGGTGGTGTTGGAAGTTTTAGGATGCAAAATTGAAGATTCTGGTACTTACACTTGCAAAGCTACCAACAAATGGGGCGTTGCTGAACAAAGCGTCACTCTCGAGTGTACCGAAAAGATCAAGGGACAGAAACCCAAATTTACGACCCAGATTCAAGATATTGTTGGTCTCAAAGACGGTCAATCCGCGCACTTTGAATGTACTTTGGTACCTGTTAACGATCCTGACTTGAAAGTCGAGTGGTACCATAATGAGCAACAGATCCTTCAATCCTCGAGGATTAAGACCGTTTCTGACTTTGGTTTCGTGGTGATGGACATCTCGTACATCCAAGACCACGATTCTGGTGAATATGTCTGTAGAGCTTACAACAAATACGGCGAAGATTTCACAAGAGCCACTATCTCTGCACATGGCAAAGGTGGAGTATTCTCAGAGACTCTACAACCTGACTCTCTCGCAAAGATTAGAGAGCTGGAAAGTCTGCAGGGACAACAAGCTCAAGTACCTACCACTCCAGTAACAGAACCACCTAAATTCATAACACAAATACAAGATGTGACTAAACTCGTTGAAGGACAAAGTGCCCACTTTGAGGCCAGACTGACACCAGTGACTGACCCCGACTTGGTCGTAGAATGGTACTACAATGGCAAAAAGTTACCACATGGACACAGATATCGTACTTTCCACGATTTCGGCATCGTGATTCTAGATATTTTGTACTGCTACGAAGAAAATTCCGGTATTTATGAATGCAGGGCCTATAATAAATATGGCGAAGATAGCACAAAAGCCAACTTGAAATGCGTCTCTAAGGCTAATTTGATCCTGGACTCGCAACTGCCGCGGGTAAGTCGTCTAACTCTAAACATAACATCAATATTGTATTTAACATAACAATTGTTACAGGGCATGGAAGGCGGATTAGAGAAGATTCAAACTTTGGAAGATTCTCTAACTCGTCAAAGAGACGAAAAAGTAACGGAAGAAAAAGGCAGAGCCCCCGTTTTTACGGTACCACTCTCCAACGTGGACAACCTAAGAGAGGGTGAGAGTGCTCACTTCGAAGCCCGACTTATTCCAACCGACGATCCTAAACTGAAAGTCGAATGGTTCTGGAATGGCAAACCGTTGAGAACTGGTTCCAGGTTCCGTACCTTCTGCGATTTTGGTTTTGTTATTTTGGAAATCTCGCCTGTTTACCCCGAGGACTCTGGGGAGTACTCATGCCGTGCCTTTAACGACTACGGTGAGGCTGTTACTACCGCCTCCATGAAAGTTCAAGGAAAGAGAAGCATTATCCTTGAATCCCAACTACCAAAGGGCATGGAAGGCACTATTGATAAAATCGCGGAACTTGAAGGGCTTGGAGTGATTCCATCTCAGGCTACACCTGACGACGACACAGGCAGGCCACCAGAATTCATAACTACGCCCTCTGACTTGACTCTCGGTGAAAATGCGTTGGCTCACTTCGAATGCAAGCTGATCCCAGTCAACGACCAGAGTATGAGAGTGGAGTGGTTCCACAATGGTAAAGCTTTGTGGGCAGGTTCTAGAATCAAGACCATCAACGACTTCGGTTTCGTAATTCTTGAAGTATCCGGTGTTTATCAGAGAGATTCCGGGTTGTACACTTGCAAAGCCACCAACAGGCATGGCGAGGCTACAGTTTCATGTAAGTTGCAAGTAAGAGGTCGCACGGGCATCATCTTAGAACCTCAATTACCATCGAACTTCAAATCCGGAACTGAAAGCATTCAAAAACTTGAAGAGACGCTTTACAAACGCGAGGAAATCACAACTGAAGAAGAGAAACCAAATCCTCCGAGGTTTATTGTTGAAATTAAGGACAACGTCGATGTTCCTGAAGGCGGTCCAGTGCACTTTGACTGCCGCGTGGAACCCACGAATGATCCGACCATGCGTATTGATTGGTTCCACAATGGACGACCTTTTGCCACTGGTTCCAGAGTTCACCAAATCAACGACTTTGGCTTCATTTCGTTAGATATTGACTACACTTACTCCAGAGATGCAGGAGAATACATTTGCAGAGCCACCAACAAGTGGGGCTCCGCTACCACCAAAGCAACCGTAACCTCAAAGTCCAAACGTAACATTGACTACGAGTCTCAACTTCCAGCGGGCATGAGCGCCGAGAAACTCAAAGAACTGGAACGTGGTAAAGTTTCTGAGAAACCACAAGAAGACAAGACTTATTCTCCGCCTAAGTTTATTACACAAATTGAATCGACGACGATCGAAGAATCAGAATCGGTTCGTTTTGAATGCCGCGTTGAACCAAAAGATGATCCCAAACTGCGTATTGAATGGTACAGGAACGGAAAACTGTTACCGTCTGGACACCGTTACAGAACTGTGTACGACATGGGATTCGTTTCCCTTGAGATATTATACGTATACGCAGAGGATTCTGGAGAATATGTGTGCCGAGCTGTTAATGACTACGGCGAAGACTTCACCAAAGCAAATGTTACGTGCAAAAAGTTGCCCAATATCATTCTCCAGAACCAAGTGCCTAAGGGCATGAAGAGATCAGAAACTCTCATGCAGATGGAAGCTGCTATTAAAAAATACACATCAGAGATTCATTTAACTGAAGATGACTTATACGACGTTGACAAGAAGCAACCACCACGATTCGTTACACAAATTCTGAATCAAGAAACGTTGGTTGAAATGCAGACTACGAAATTCGAATGCCAGCTGGCACCAGTTGGTGATCCTAACATGAAAGTGGAGTGGTTCTTCAACGGGAAACCTCTTCCACACAGTAAGTCAAACTGGTAAGTCGATGTATGACGATTTCATGATTTCGTTTTACAGAAAATCGCTTCACCCCGATTTACGATTTTGGCTACGTTGCAATGAACTTCGGCTGGGTGTACCCCGAAGACAGCGGTGAATATCTTTGCCGCGCTACCAATTTGTACGGTATGGACGAAACTAGAGCCATCATTAAGACAGCTGGCAAGCCTGGAATTATCTATGACTCACAATTACCGAAAGGTATGAAGAGTATTGAAAAGATCAGAGAATTGGAGGCCGCTTGGCAAGTGTAAGTTGCTTTCATTTGTATTTGGAACGAATTTGATTGAAAATCTTGTAGGGTACCTGAGGAAGCTAGCGAGGAGAGCAAACCTCGCTCCGCTCCAGTCTTCGTCAGTAGGCCTGAACCTTGCGCCGTTCAAGAAGGTGATTGGGCCAGGTTCTGCTGCCGGGTGACTGGACATCCGCGACCACGTGTCATGTGGTTGGTCAACGGTCACACAGTTGCTAACGGATCGCGCTACAAGCTTACCTACGACGGCATGTACCACATGGACATCCCAAAGACTCGCCAGTACGACACCGGTAAAGTAGAAGTGATCGCTCGCAGCTCCGTCGGTGAAGCCATCGCCGAAACAGAACTGAAGGTCGTTCCTAGACACGATGATTACAGAGGGGTTCTTAAGAATTCGCCAAGACGTAAGTGCGGCACCAGTACTCAACAGACATACTTCTATATACTTGACATAATGCACATATACCGTGAAAACATGCAAAAGTGTCAGACATTTCGCTTTAACACTCCATACCTATACACTACCTCCTTTATAGTCCTTCCCTATCTTCTGCTTCGATGAACGTCGGCATTCAAAAAGGAGTAAGAGACAGGTATGCCATTGTTTATAAGTATCGTTGTATGTTGCATGTTGGCCCTCTCCTGAAATGTGCATCATGTGTTAGATGATCGTATATTATAACAATGATGGTATATAGTGTATGTCTTGTCTTTCACTCGGTTCGATCTAATCGGTCGGTTTGACTTTAGCATGGTACGATCTCGAGTTGACTCAGTACCAAAAGGAGCGCGCTGAAACTGAACTCGAACGAATTTTCGACGAACGTAACACGCTGCAACGCGAACAAGGTATTAACGTCACGGGAGTTCACGTTCAGTCTAAAGACTTCAAAGAGGCAGAAACGGAATGGCAGAAGTCGGTTAAGACTAAGAAAACCGATGACTACTACAACAAGTTGCAAGAACTTGAAAATGAACAAGTAATCAAAGAAATCAAACTGAGGGAATCGTCACACCAGTTTGCTATTCCGGGCGAGAAAGTCGTGTCGAGTTCGTTGGCCAGAGGGATGGCACAGAAATATCAAGAAACCTTGTAAGTGACCTTTGCACTTTTTCTCTACAAGTGTCTAACCACCTATTAAATTACAGGGAACAAAAACCTGAAAAAGTTGATCTCAGACCCATCCCACACTTACCCAAAGAAACCCAACAAGTCACACCACACCGTGATCTAGTGCAGCTGAGAAGGACCGACAAAGGCAAAGAAATGGGAGAAGAACGCGAAGTTATCATCGATTCAAAGAGGGGTGCTTATCCACCAGACCCCACCGAATCCGGTGTCCACGGACGTGAAGTCTACGTCACCAAACAACGTCAAACACAGAAAGAAAACGTCGGAGATACAGAAATTACTCGTCATATCACAGCCACCGAAACCACAGACGTTGAACACAAAGCCAAAACGCAAGAGCGGTTAGTCCAAGGACAGGTACTTCCCAGCAACCCACCCGTCTTTACCAAGAAGATCCAGCCTTGTTTAGCTTTTGAGAACACATCAGCCCGATTTGAAGTTGAATTCGACGGTGATCCACTACCTAAGATCACATGGTTCCGTGAAGACTTCCCCATTACGAGCTCCCCAGACTTGACCATCTACACCTTCAGTACTAAGTCGATTCTAGTCCTGCGCCAAGTCTTCGTGGAAGACTCTGGTGTCTTCAGCGTTGTCGCCGAAAATCGCGGCGGTACCGCTAAATGTAGCGCCAATTTGGTTGTTCAAGAACGCAGAAGCCAAGCTAGAGGAGGAGTAGTACCACCTAGCTTCGTCACCACGATACAAAGTGCTGCTTCCAACGTAGGTCAACTAGTAAGATTTGACGCCCGCATCAACGGTACTAAACCCATCGATGTGTACTGGTTGAAGAACGGCAAGAAGATCGTCTCAGACATCCGCTACAAAACTCTAGAAGAAGACGAAGTCCACACACTTCTCATCATCGAAGTAGTACCCGAAGACTCCGGAAAGTACGAATGTGTGGCCATCAACAGCGGAGGTGAAGCCCGTTGTGAAGCCGATTGCGTGGTACAAAGACCCGCTACGCCGTCGAAACCCGCTAAACCTACCACTCCCACTAGCGAGAAAGCACCCACCATTGTGGAGCCCTTGAAGGACCAGAAAGTACGCGAAGGCCAAGCTGTGGCTTTCCGTTGCAAAGTCGCCGGTAAACCGGCACCCACGATCAAGTGGCAGAAGGGCGACAAGATCATCAAACCGTCGAAGTATTTCCAAATGGTCAAAGATGGGGATAATTATACGCTGAAGATCTCAGAAGCATTCCCTGAAGATGAGGGTGTGTACAAGTGTGTAGCTACGAATCCTGCCGGTACGGTCACTTTACAAGCTAATTTGAAAGTACTGGCACCGGAAACGCAAGAAGTAGCACCTTCGTTGACACCGATGAAGGATGTTATCGTACCTGAGGGAAGTCCTGCTCAGTTTAAAACTACTGTTGCTGGGAAACCCAAACCGACCATTCAGTGGTTGAGGGAAGGGTTCCTGATTCCCGATTCGCCAGATTTCCAGGTAAGATAAATAGTTTTTTTTTTATTAACGTCTTTGGACTTTTTGTGGAAATGTACATAGCGTCCAGAGGTTAAATAGGAAAAGTGAAAAAACACACGCTACAAAGTATACTTTTTTATATTTTTAGAAAGGCTCACGGTAATTTTAAAATCAAATCTACAGTTGTTTTAAATGTTAAGAGGTACATGTCGTTAAGTCTTCACCGTGATCAGCAAGTACTGTTTGAGTTGGTATAGAATTAAAGAACTATTTTTGAGAAATTTTTCTTGTGCTGCTATTGCCAAATCTGATCAAAATACTTGGCGCTGTTATTTTGCAGCGGTCAAAAAAGTTAGGTTATGATATTTTAATGACAATCAATAACAAATTTTGATTGAATGTCCTGTCAACCATGTCAGTTTTGACAGCAGGAAGTAAAATTGGATGACAGTTCTACCAATTTCAAACAAAATTTATTCATATCAAGTGAAACAGGACTTATTGATCACGCTGTATAAGTTACTGAAACCGATATCTCCACATTGCCGTAATATTTTATTAACAATAAACTGGAACCACCTACGTCTTGAAGAGTGCACCCGGCGCCTCCACCATTTTCATATAGAAATATTAAATTTCCGATATACCGCCTATTATTGTTTTAGATCTTCTAAGCATTTAATTTTTGGGGAATTTTGTCGTAGTTGGTACAACAAATATCAGATTGTAACAAAGTAGCACCCAGAATTTGTTGCCGAACCAATTTCGTTCTGCGTACGAAAATATCATTTCGTTCTTTTGCCGTTCATTGCATTTGTTATTTTATAGTGAGATTTCTAATGACTAACAATTTTGAATTTACACTATAGAAACTATTGTAGTACTTTCACAGTTTGGTTAAACCAAATTTGAAAATCTAGAATATATCGATTTTTATATACGCTACACCGTAAATTTTGCCTTTAGGGAAAAACTCAGTAACTAAATGTAAACGATTACGAGAGTGGAAAAAAACTGGAATGTTGTCTTGGATTTTATAGCGAAACAGATTCTGTACAAACACAAAAGTAAATTATTAGCTTTTTAAATGATTTTAAATTTAACTTGTATTGATGGAAAGAGCTGCCAACTGGCTCAAGTAGCTTAAGGCTAGACCGGTTGTGAAACCGAACGAATTTCTGCCGAAATATAAATCCATGATCAAAAAATCGCTGCACAAAATAACTTAGGGTAAACTTTTTTGGATTTTTGAAAAATATTAAAAAACATTATAATATTGGGTGAATATTTACGGTCGTGAGCAACAACTGGAAGAAGGTCTGAATTCTATGCACTTATTTTACTTATTACGATTACAGTCAGTCGTTAGCCATGAAAGTTTTCTCCACGTATTATTATAATTATGAGTAAAAAAATATTTGAGTGCAACCTGAATACTACGCTTTATAGGGCACTTCTTACGATCGTGAATTTGTTAGCTTCGACATTTTCTAATAAGCCTCAGGCATATAATGAATGCATTATTACATGATCAATGGAAATAATCTTAACGTAGTTTTCAAAACAGTACGGAATAGAAACTTAATAACAATTTATGCAACAGTTCCCAGAAATTTAACAGATGTTAGATATCTATGCATGTTAATAAACACAGTTAAAAATAAGTCGATTTTCAAAGCAATAAAACTTTCACTTCTGGCAAAAAGGAAGTAATTGCAATAAAATTGCGGATAACTGACACAAATATAAATCGACTACTTTGCTCAGTTGAATTAAATTACGTTCTTGTGTAAAAGAATTGCATAACATAAAAACCCACTGCCAAAAAATCAAAACAAAATCAGGTGAATTTATGGCGCAATAAAAATGCATAATTGTTCATAAACAACTTTATTATCACATAAAATCAAAATATATACATTTTGAAAAAGTAATTGCAAATGTAATGGATCTACACAAGTGTCTGCAAATTATTTTAAGCAAGATATGCGCAGGCATTGCACTATTTGAATGTACTCCAGAAATAACTCCAACGTATTAATCATCACATATATATATTCACCCAAGAGAACTGTTCAAAACTTGTAATAAATGGTCGCCCCAAAAATTCCAGAATTGTGTAATAATCGGAAAGTTACAACTTTGATTTTCTTCCTTGTTTGCATGAGTCACCAGAGTTTATTATCAATCAAAGAGAACAGACTCTCTTAAAACGATATTACCTAGATGAAAGTGGGTATAAATTTTATATCTCTTCTAATAAGTGGTGATTAATTGAATCAAATCGTTTACATGTTACAAATTTTCGCTGAATGACTTAGCTATAAAATATATATTAAAATTCAAGTAGGAACAAATACTTCATTCCATTTTTTGAAAAATAAATAAATGGCTAAAAACACAAGCATCATTGTTTCCGGGCTTAAATTTAGCTAGCGTAATTAACAAAAATAATTAATGTTTAGGCACAATTACACAGCTGTGGGTTGCCAAATCGAGCTTAGCAAATAATAAATCATGGATGACGTTTACGATGTGTTATAATTTTGCCAACCACCACCGTTGCAAAAACGGAAATCTGGATTTATGTTTAACTTACTTCCACTGCAGTGTGTTTGTTTAAATGACGATGATTACATTATTATTTCCCAAACTTGCTTGGTGAAAATATGCCTGTAAAACTGGTACTTTAGACTTGCATTACATTTTTTCACACTTAGTATTTGTTTAGGTTCAGGTATTTTACCAGTTGTGTTTGGTCGCGTCAATCTATATCTGGACACTGTAACAACTTAGACCACTTCTTCAATTTTGTGTTTTTGTTACAATCCTTTGATAAAGTTTTAGTTTTCTCTTTTTGCACTTGATGAAAGAATATTTTTAGAGCAAGGCTCATTTAATGATAATCCGTTTCCTATAATACATTTATGCGACTCAATTTCCCCAAACAACGATTCCATAAAACCGCCAATTAGCGACCATAAAACCTTCAATTAAATAAACAGTATGATCATTCCAGCAATTACCGTTACGTGGAAACGTTTCACTCCAATAACTCTGGACGAATTAAAAGCCATTAAACGCAATCAAAGATACAAATTTAGCCCAATGACCGCACACGTAGTACCCCACATTCCCTCAACTAAGTGCGATTTTATTGGTTCCAGATGATCCATGAGGGCAACAACGCAGTCCTTCTGATCTCAACGACGTACGAAGAAGACTCCGGCACGTTTACATGCAGAGCGACTTCTTCGGCAGGCCAAGTGGAGCGTTCCGCCAAACTGATCGTCAAAAGTAAGAAATAAACCCTTACACCCTCACATCCCTAGTCGATTGCCACCCCGGAACAATTTCTAGTCTTACAAATTTATTTATTGTTTAGCTTTAAATGTGTGCTGCTCTTTTATGAGTAAAGTTTAACCATTAGTGTCACTGGAAGGCAGCTCATATTTGGTCCTTAGATTGTAGTTTTGTTAAGAGGTGATTCGGTAAATCGAGTTCCAAGTGATGATATTTTAGGAGTGAACACAGCTTTGGCACTAATCTGCTGAACGCTGGGCTTATTGTTTATTATATTGTTTATGACCATGTATCGTAAAATGCATAATTTAATAAACTGCTATTATTAAGAGTTGTCGTTTAAAGTGTGACCTCCACAAAGCCCGACCAGGTGCAGTGCATGCATCACGGTCTAGTTGTAAACAAAAGTCACTAAGTAGGGTCGTGTGCACCATGACACACGCTCCGAACTATTTTAAACTTCCACTGTATTACATTACCAATCTAAATTAGGAGACCCAGCCGCACCTTGCCAGATGGCTTTTATAATCAGAGAAAAACACAAGTCTCGAGGAAAAAATTTATTTCGAAAAAATTACACCGATCGCTGCTGCCTGAAGTTGGCCGCTCTCCAAACCTGAAACATCTCTCGCTCAATTTTCAGTAGACAAACACCGAACTTACCCTATCACTTGGAACTCGCCACCACTTCACCCCTGTTCGGCGAAAGCCGTGGAGATTCGCCCCTTGCAGCCCTCGGGCCGGCTCGGGGCGAATCTCCGCGGCCAAGCCCGCTCACACAGCACACGAAACGGACCTCGCGCCACCACTGCACATGTTTGAGTGATTCGAGCGGCCGCCTCACGTGGCGGCGGTAGTAGGGGGTGCGTACTATACAAACGCAACGCGTGAGCATTGTCATGATTCATTTCCGACGAAAATAGCCGACCAAAGCGATGACAAATTTGTGAGTATCGGCGGTAAAAATACCGAAAACCACAGTCACGTGACGCGCCGATAAGGGGTAAAAATATAAAAAAGAGAAAAATATTTACTTTGGCTGAGTCATAAATCAGGCGCGAGGGCTCCAGATGCCAACGCAAACTTCAATTAACTTCGATTTAAAAAAATCTTGTTTTTGTAATGGCGCAAATGTGGGTCAGAACGATGTGAAAAACCAAAATAAATCGGCGCGAGTTTTCTGTAATCAATCTTGTCGCATCTCTAATCAAGATTGGCAGTAATGAGCCGGTCGTGCCAACTTTTGACGAAAATACCGCACAGACCACCGTCTCGAAAAAGCGCTTTTTGGAAGTGGCTATTTTCGGAGATACCATCGACCTCTTAAACACCGACAGAAATTTTGCAGCACACCTATGTTTGTGTTGAGTCACGCCTTAAATATACCGCAGACGTGCGCTTTTTTTGTGGTATTGCGGATTCTGGGTTATGAAAACTGTCCGAGTTATGAAAAAACTTTTATAAATGTAGTGCGGAACGATTCATTTAATTTGTTGGACGGACTTACTCATTTATTATTTTTATGGGACGCGTATTATTCTGCATCATAGAACAGATTTTGGATGTCTTTCACTCTTACGTCAGCAGAGATATATTTATTTTACTATGAGTAAAACAATCTGTCATTTACTTGGAATTTCAGACATTTTCTTATTATTTTATCCTTTCTATTTTAAACTTAAACACATCACTTTTTCTGAAACGTTTACATCTTGCTGCGGCCGAGTTTGGTCACGGCGGATTCATCTTTGCCTCGACATGAATTCCGACTATGTCCATGTACGGACTTTACCTTCACCTTTTACCTAATTACGTCATGAACAAAATTAAGCGCGGTGACATAATATTATTTTGCATTTTTGCTTTTTTATTAAGTCAGCTGCAACTTTCAAATGAGCTTATAAAGTGATATTTACCAGCAGTTCTTATTTTTACCTTTTACCTAAGACCTAGTAAAATAAAAAGTTTTCTTAAATTTAAATTTTGCTTTATTTGTAGGAGTGACTGCATTTAACGATTATGACTTAATTGGCAATGGATGAAATCACTGACACAAGACAAATTATTAACAAATGTAAATAATTCACATGAGTTTACAAACTGTTTTAAAATTGCAACACCATTCATACTATATACAGTGATCAACAAGTACCAATGGTTTCAGTTGGTATCAATGAATTTTGATACTGTAGACCTGTCACCCCACCTTACTCCCTGTTGTCAAAACTGACATGGTTGACAGTCACATTTAATTATGTCAAAATTAGATATTGACTATTATTATTAAAAGTGACATAACGCCAAGCATTTTTGCATCAACTGAATTTAATTCTATATTGCCAACTCAAGGAGTACTTGTTGATCATGCTATGGTGTAGGCATATACGAAAAAACCAATGCAGAATTTTGTATAACATATCTACTTCTACTTAATTGATGTTCTATCATATTTATTCCATTTTTTATAATGACCGAGTTGGATGACCATGTGCATGCGTCAAAGTTGCCCAGGTGTTCCAAATGGTTTTATAACAGTTGTATTTTTATTATGTTGACTCAGATAGTTATCTCATGTTCAGATTTGAAAACAGGAGCTTAAATCATAACCATAAAAACCCTTTATTGAACCATAAACTTTTTCATTTTTGAAACCCTCAAATTTTAACCCTAATTAAAATTCTTTGTCTTGATTTTTTTTTAATTCAAATATTATTTGGGGCTTTATCGTTTTCAAATAAAATTCAAGAACTATTAGTATTAGAAATCAATGTCATTCCAAAGAGGGCTTGTATTAAAGACGAATATAGCATACCTTAATGTAAAGCATTGTTAATAACAGCCAAAAACATGCCAGAAATAACGGGTGAGCCAGATAATTTGTGTTATCAGAAGGTTTTGGAGACAAAATTTTGATCCTTTGATCGTCATGATTACGAAAAAAGTTACTGAGTTGTGAAAGCCTTGAAGTTTAAATTAAAATTTTTTAAAGGTACAGAGAAATAGGGTTTAAAAAAGTACCGACATACGTTTTCTGAAATATAGCCACCGTTATAATATAACTTGTAGTTTTGTTACAGAATTTTTGACATCTCGGTTGGCTGTGATAGCATAAACTACCCCTAACAATATAAAATGAGCTTTAGCGATTTTAGTTATAAAACTGTCAATACCCATTTTGAGGTTATGAATGAATTAAAATTTCAATCGAGAAAATCTATATACATATTTGACAAATTGACAGTTATGGTTGTCATTTTCTGTTTTTATGTACTGAATCAATGTAAATTTGAAAACACTAGACGCGCTTTTTGACGATTTTGCCAACATAAATTTGAATTTCCAACGCACACTGAGATGTCAATTATCATAAAATATACTCTAATTAATGCGAATTAAAAACAAAGTTAAAATTAATGCAGTGTTAATCAATGTTATGAACTTCTCTGTCGTTTCCAAGGCTTTGACGTTTTGATATTTATGAGGACTTTAATATTTTTGAAACATTTGTATTTCACTTTTTGTAATATTGTCAACATCTTTTACGCAAATTTTCTACACTTCTACCGTGTGATTGAAAATAAAATGAATTCGAGTTAACGTTGTATGTCGGGCTTTGGGTGGTATTACAGGTCTCAGTTTGACACTATCTCAAATTTCTCGAAAAAATGTTTTAATTCGCACACAAAACATTTCGGTTATTTTCCAAAAAAAAACCTGACAAAAAAATCACAAACATTAACAGCCCTTATGACGTTTATCTGTACATTTTAAGCATTTTGACACTGGTTTAAGAGATGTTTATCTGTTTCTTTAAGTTCGGGGAGCACATGTGTTAGTGCCATGGAAAATACTGTTTTTAATTTAGACAACTTACTTCAGAAGGAGTTAATTTTATAAGTACCACACAACACACTATTCTTATTATTGTAGTTTAAAGGAAATTTTAACCTGAAGTTACCTTAAGATTTTTTAAATTTAGATTTGATATTTGCAAAAAATATCCAAAAACTGTTGACCCAGACCAGTTTATGGCCGCAGTTAATAAAAAGGGCGTATAGCTGGTACTATTGCACTTTCAAAAATTAACAACGTGCGACAAAAAATGTTTGTGAATAATTTAAAGGTTAAGTTGACGTGATTTATGTCAAATTGAAGCTTGACGGGCAAGGTTATCTCTAATTCACTTTATTTTCGATCTCACGGCACAAGCCCACGAATCTGAATGTGAATTACTGCAACAGCTCTTGGCAATAATCCGTAGGCGCCGGTATTAAAATTTATACCCCCAGCAATAGATTAAAATTGCTGAAAACAGAATTAAAGTTGGCAGAAGAGTGCAAGATGGTAACAGTTAACGTAAAGACATTGTCAAATGTTTTTGGCAACCAAACTCCAAACAACTTTGAACTTAAAGCAACGGGAAAGCCAGACCAATACAAACAACCTAATTGGCACGTGCTGTTTTCATTTTCACAAAAGTACAGCTGTTATTGAACTTAAGTTGATGTACGATGTCCAACTGGTCGTGGAATTAGGCGTGACGTCGAACGACTACGTCTGAAATGTTCGAAATTCCAATTATTCCTCAAAAAAAAAAAAATTGTAACTTACTGAAACTACTAACACTATATGAATCCAATCAGGCCTTACCTATCTCTGCTTGTGCCGTCCCTGCGTTACTTTGCGTTGTAAAAAACCGCCAATGGCAAACTTACAGGCCGTCCAGGAACTTACCGCAAACCAGCAACAACAGACCTCACTTCCAAAGATGCCACCAAAACCGGAAAACAACCTCAGTTCGGTCCTGGACAAGGAGGTCCAGGTCAAACCACGCAGAAATTCGTACCTGGTTCAAAAGGTGGCGTGCAACCAATGGATGAAGATGAACTTCCTCTTGGTGATGAAACCTTACCTTGGCGTCGGACACCTAAACCTCAGAAAGTTGTGGGTGTTGATGAGCAAAAACCACAACAGGCTCAACCTTGGACACAAGGGCAGATAAGTTTGAAGAAGACGCAAAGACCAACGAAGGAGATTACCAAAGAACAAGTAGAAGAGGTACAGCTGAAACCGTCCAGACCTCAAACTAAAGAAATCCCCAGAGCTGAATTGGAAAGGGTTGATCTCAAACATAGGACCAAATTTACGAGTGAAGAAAAGACTGAAGAAGTTACTTCTTGGGACAGACGCGTTGAGAGTGAGGATACTACGTTGTTGGAGATTGACGAAAGAAGAAGAGTACAAAAGACTGATACTTTGCAAACGAAAGACTGGCGTGGGCCTCGGCCACGAACTGATAAAGATACTAGGCGAGAAGTTGAAGACACGACTTTATTGTCTGTAGACGAAAGAGAGAGAACTGAAGAAAGCAAGAAGACTGAAGTCAAGGATTGGCGTAGATCTAGAAAAGATGATACGAGTTTAGAACGACGCAGGGATGTTGAAGATACAACACTGCTTTCAGTTGAAGAACGGGAGAAAGTAAAACAAACCAAAGAAACAGAAACTAGAGGTTGGCGTAGACCTAGAAAAGATGATACGAGTGTGGAACGGCGAGAGGAGACGGAAGATACAACTTTACTTAGTGTTGATGAAAGAGAGAAAGTCACGGAGACAAGAGAATTAGAAACAAGAGGTTGGCGCAGGCCGAAAAAAGAAGAACCAGTTGAAGACGTAACGGAAGCACCAAAGGAAGAACAAATTCCTTGGAACAAACAAGAAATAAAATTAAAACCTGCACCAAAAGAACGGAAAGACATTCCTAAACCGAAAATCGAAGACGTGCAGCTGAAATCAGCACGACCAGAAACAAAAACTATTCCCAAAGAAGAATTAGAACCGGTTACTCTAAAACCAGTATCACTTAAGATAAAACCAACAGAAACAGATACATTAGTTACCACATACGACGAACAATCAACTACATTACAAGTAGATGAAACCGAAGAAAGACGACCGTGGCGCAAGGTACGAAAACAGGATGAGGAAGAAAAGTCTGAAGAAATTATAACACAAGAAGAAAAAGAAGAAAAACCACAAATCATTGAAAAGAAAGAGGAACCACTTCCATGGAACAAACAACCAATTACTTTAAGGAAAGCACCAAAAGAAATCAAAGAAATTCCAAAAGAGAAAATAGAAGACGTTCAACTAAAACCAACACGACGTGAAAGTAAAACTATTCAAAAAGAAGAATTAGAAACAGTAGATTTAAAATCAGTGTCTCTGGAAAAAATAAAAGCAACGAAAACCGATAAACTGGTTACAGCACACATCGAAGATTCAACTACGTTACAAGTAGATGAAACGGTGGATGAAACAGATAAAGCGAAGGTAAGAGATTGGCGTAGACCCAGACGCGAAGATGAAGAACAAGTTGAGGAGATTCCAAAAGTTGAAAAGAAAGAAGAAAAACCACAAATAATTGAAGAAAAGAAAAAGGAACCCATTCCATGGAACAAACAAGAGATTGTTCTTAAGAGGACACCACATGAATCTAAAGAAGTAGAAAAACCGAAACTAGAAGAAGTACAACTGAAACCAATGAAACCTGAAAGTAAAACACTGCAAAAAGCGGAACTAGAAACAGTTGATTTGAAATCTGTGTCTCTTCAAAAAATTAAATCTCTAGACATTGAAACTACCAAATTAGAACAAGCATACACTGAAGATACGACAACTTTGAAAGTAGATGAAAGAGTAGAGCCAATTACAGCTACACATAAGGAAGAAAGAGTACCAGAAGACGAAACAATCCCGCAAGAAGACGAAAAGCCAAAATTACAAGAACCCAAGCAGGAGGAAATACCTTGGAATAAACAAGAGATTAAGTTAAAGAGAGTAGAAAGAGACAGAAAGGAAATTTCTGTCCAAAAACTTGAAGAAGTAGAATTGAAACATGCGCGTCACGAACCCAAAGTGATTCCTACAGAAGAATTAGAAATAGTGAAACTTAAACCGGTGTCTCTTGAAACAATAAAACTTACAGAAAGTAGAGACATACAGGAAGAGACTTCCGTTGAAGGTCAGGTTAAAGAAACTACCGAAATCAAACAATGGCGTAAATCAAGTAAGCAAAGAACTCATGAAGAACAGGTCGTAGACGTTACCGAAGAAACTGAGAAACGACACACCGAAGAGAAATCATTAATAGAAATCCGGGAACAAGAGAAAGTAGAAGAAAACAAACTGGAAACAAGAGGATGGAGACGCGGTCCTAAAGAAACTCCAGAAACACTAGAACACAAACCACAGGAGCCTAAGGTAATCGAAAAGAAGGAAGAAATTCCGTGGAACAAACAAGAAATTACTTTGAAACGTACTCCAAGAGAAGACAAAACAGTTGTTAAAGAAGAGCTAGAGAAAGTAACACTCAAAACAGTTAAGAAAGATGTGAAGACTGAAGAAAGCCAAAGAGTTCATACGGAGGACGAAAGTTATATTGACGTAGAAAAGACAGTAAAAGACGAGCAACAAATAAGTAAGAGATGGCGAAAAGAGCGAAAAGATGCTGGTAAACCAGAAGAAGAACGACCCACTCACGTTGAAGATACTACATTAATAAGTGCTCCTGAAGAAGAATACATTGAAGAGAAACCAGGGCAACCTCAGCCAGAAATCAGAGGCTGGCGAAGACCTAGAACAGAAGAAAAAGTGACTGATGAACAAAAACCAGCAGAGGAAGAAAAGCCAGTTGAAGAGCCAAAGCCTTGGCGCAAACCAAAACCAGCACCTATTGAAAAACAAGAACCAGAACCAGCTCCCTGGACAAAGGGCGTTGAACTTAAGAGAACTCCCAAAGTAATAAAACAAATTGAAGAAGAAACATTGGAAAGTGTAACTTTAAAACCAATTCCTAAACCTTTGGTAGAACCACAAGAAGCCGTACTATCCTCAGAAGAATCAGACGAAGTTCAGTCGGTAGAGGACAGACTCGTACGAGTGAAAAAATCCAAAAAACAAAAGAGAAGGCGGAAACCAGATGAACAAACAGGGCTAGAAGAACAGGCTCCACAGGAAGTTGAACAAGAAAAACCGACAGAGGAAGAGAAACCAGCAGAGGAAGAAAAACCAGTTGAAGAGCCAAAGCCTTGGCGCAAACCAAAGCCAGCCCCTATTGAAAAACAAGAGCCAGAACCAGCTCCCTGGACAAAGGGCGTTGAACTTAAGAGAACTCCCAAAGTAATAAAACAAATTGAAGAAGAAACATTGGAAAGTGTAACTTTAAAACCAATTCCTAAACCTTTGGTAGAACCACAAGAAGCCGTACTATCCTCAGAAGAATCAGACGAAATTCAATCGGTAGAGGACAGACTCGTGCGAGTGAAAAAATCCAAAAAACATAAGAGAAGGCGGAAACCGGGTGAACAAACAGGGCTAGAAGAACAGGTTCCACAGGAAGTTGAAGAAAAACCGACTGACGAAGAGAAACCAGCGGAGGAAGAACAACCAGTTGAAGAGCCAAAGCCTTGGCGCAAACCAAAGCCAGCACCTATTGAAAAACAAGAACCAGAACCAGCTCCCTGGACAAAGGGCGTTGAACTTAAGAGAACTCCCAAAGTAATAAAACAAATTGAAGAAGAAACACTGGAAAGTGTAACTTTAAAACCAATTCCTAAACCTTTGGTAGAACCACAAGAAGCCGTACTATCCGCAGAAGAATCAGACGAAGTTCAATCGGTAGAGGACAGACTCGTGCGAGTGAAAAAATCCAAAAAACATAAGAGAAGAGGAAAACTAGATGAACAAACAGGGCTAGAAGAACAAGCTCCACAGGAAGTTGAAGAAGAAAAACCGACAGAGGAAGAGAAACCAGCAGAGGAAGAAAAACCAGTTGAAGAGCCAAAGCCTTGGCGCAAACCAAAGCCAGCCCCTATTGAAAAACAAGAGCCAGAACCAGCTCCCTGGACAAAGGGCGTTGAACTTAAGAGAACTCCCAAAGTAATAAAGCAAATTGAAGAAGAAACACTGGAAAGTGTAACTTTAAAACCAATTCCTAAACCTTTGGTAGAACCACAAGAAGCCGTACTATCCTCAGAAGAATCAGATGAAGTTCAATCGGTAGAGGACAAACTCGTGCGAGTGAAAAAATCGAAAAAACATAAGAGAAGGCGGAAACCAGATGAACAAACAGGGCTAGAAGAACAGGCCCCAGGAGAAGTTGAAGAAGAAAAACCGACAGAGGAAGAGAAACCAGCAGAGGAAGAAAAACCAGTTGAAGAGCCAAAACCCTGGCGCAAACCAAAGCCAACTCCTATTGAAAAACAAGAACCAGAACCAGCTCCCTGGACAAAGGGCGTTGAACTTAAGAGAACTCCCAAAGTAATCAAACAAATTGAAGAAGAAACATTGGAAAGTGTAACTTTAAAACCAATTCCTAAACCTTTGGTAGAACCACAAGAAGCCGTACTATCCGCAGAAGAATCAGACGAACTTCAATCGGTAGAGGACAGAATTGTGCGAGTGAAAAAATCCAAAAAACATAAGAGAAGGGGGAAACCAGATGAACAAACAGGGCTAGAAGAAGAGGCTCCACAGGAAGTTGAAAAAGAAACACCGACAGAGGAAGAGAAACCAGCAGAGGAAGAAAAACCAGTTGAAGAACCAAAGCCTTGGCGCAAACCAAGGCCAGCACCTATTGAAAAACAAGAACCAGAACCAGCTCCCTGGACAAAGGGCGTTGAACTTAAGAGAACTCCGAAAGTAATAAAGCAAATTGAAGAAGAAACACTGGAAAGTGTAACTTTAAAACCAATTCCTAAACCTTTGGTAGAACCGCAACAAGCCGTACTATCCGGAGAAGAATCAGACGAATTTCAACCAGCAGAGGACAAACCCGTACGAACTAAAAAACCCAAAAAACAAAGGAGGAAGGACAAACCAGATGAAGAAACAGGGCTAGTAGAAGAGGTTCCACAGAAAGTTGAAGAAGAAAAACCGACAGAGGAAGAGAAACCAGTAGAAGAAGAAAAACCAGTTGAAGAGCCAAAGCCTTGGCGCAAACCAAGGCCAGCACCTATTGAAAAACAAGAACCAGAACCAGCTCCCTGGACAAAGGGCGTTGAACTTAGGAGAACCCCTAAAGTAATAAAACAAATTGAAGAAGAAACACTGGAAACTGTAAGTTTAAAACCAATTCCTAAACCTTTGGTAGAACCGCAACAAGCCGTACTATCCGGAGGAGAATCAGATGAAAATCTACCGCTAACCTTAGAGGACATGGAAAAATCGCGCAAAAAATATAAGACAAAGAAGAGACCAGAAAAAGAAACAGGACTAGAAGAAGAAGAAGAAACTCCACAGGAAGTTGAAGAAGAAAAACCACTTGAAGAATCTAAAGAACCAGAATCAGTAATTGTTGAAACTGTCACAGAAGTTGAAGACACTGTCGTACTGAAAGTTGAGGACAAAGAGAAGCCAAGAAAAATACGACCAGAAAGAAAAGAAGAAGTACCTGAAGTAGTCACGCTGAAGCCAGTTAGGAGATCTGAGAAACCTAAAGAGGAAGAATCACTTGAAACCGTTACGTTGAAACCCGTATTGAAGTTTAAGCCTGAAACTCCAGAAATAACAACCGTAGAAAAGAAACAACCAAAGAAAAAATACAGAGATGTTGAACTTCCTGAGGATGGTGAAAAATATGTTCCAGAAGAAGCCGAAAAGGTAGAAATAGAGGACAAACCAAAAGAAGTGGAAGAAAAACCGTCAGTTCCATGGCGAAGGGAACCTAAACCGAAACCGGAAATTCTAGAAGAAGAAAGAGCACCACTTAAAATAGGCAAAGGTAAAATACCAAAAGATGAAGACAAAAAAGAAGAAGTACATCTGAAACCGGTGAAGAGAGAAAAACCGAAAGAAGAAAAGCCATCTGAACCTTCTAAACCTTTCAAACCCGAGGACACCGAATTTATTCCAGCAGATTTTGATCGCCAAAAGATTGAGCGTACTCCTAGAGAAGATAAAGAAAAACCAAAAGAAGAAAAACCAGAAGAGTTGGTGCCACAAGAAAAACCAAGTGAACCTAAGATTGAAGAAACAGCAACGGCACCGTGGAGACGACAGCCACGACAGAAAGAAGAAGAAGTGCCCGAAGTGAAGGAATGGCCCAGAGGTAAACGAAAGCCAAAAGAAGATGAGAAACCAGAACAGATACAGCTAAAGCCATTCAAAAAAGAAAAACCGGAAGAACCACTGCAAAAGGTTGTTTTAGAAACTATCAAAATGCAAGAACCTATTGTAACAGAAATAGAGGAAAGAGACGACGGTATCAAATTTAAACCTTCAGACCGTGAAGAACCTGAAGATAAAGATAAGAAGAAGCGTTACAAGAAACGTCCAAAGGATGTACCTGAAGAAGTTGTTCCTGCTGCTGAAGAAGTTCCTGTTGTTGAAGAAATTCCAGAAGAAATTCCTGAGGAGAAACCAAAAGAAACAGCAAAACCAGAAGAAGTTGTGCCTCAAGTTAAAACCTGGCGTAGAGGTAAACAATTACCTAAGCCGGTAGAAGAGGAAAAAGAAGTTGTTACTTTGAAACCTATTCCAAGAAAGGAAGAAATTGCTGAACCTGAAGAACCCCAAGAGGCCGAAATCAAGAAAACTAAAGGCCAAAAGATTATTAGGAAATCGAAATCTCATCCTCTTCCAAAAGACGACGAAGGAGCAGAAGTACTTCCAGAAGAAGAAAAGCCTGAATTAGTGCCCACTAAATTAGAAGATGTACCTGAAAAGATTCAAGAAGCAATTACCACCCAGCAATCTGTGGCTCAAATAACACTGGCTGAAAGAAAGACCGAACAAGTGGAACAAATAAGAGAAGAAAGAGCAACTGAAGACGAACAAGTGCAGTTCCAAAAAGCCATAAATGTTGAAATTATTTCCAAAAAGAAGACAAGCGAAAAACGCGTCGTTAGGTTCGACGACTATGGTCAGCCAATCCCTGAACTAGAAATTATTTCGCAGAAACGAATAACTGAAGGTATCGATAAACTGCCCGAAGAACCCCTTCAAGAAGATATCGACATTCGTGAACAGAAAACTGTCCACAAATCGATTGTTCAGAAAACAATTAGTGAACATGTTAAGAAGAGAACCGTCGCTCCCAAATTTACCCAACGGGTTGAGCCTGTGGTTTCAGAACCAGATAAACCCACGAAACTTATATGCCAGGTAGAGGGTACGCCATTCCCCGAAATCGCTTGGTATAAGAACGAAGTTCTTATGCATGCCACCGAAAGGGTCTACTGGAACATTGTCGAAAACACCGTCACTTTGGAATTTGCCAAAGTAGAACCCCAGGATGTCGCCATTTATTCGTGCAAAGCCACCAACGCCGGTGGAGTTGCCACTTCTACAGCAAATCTTGTCATTCTAGGTACTTGGTGTGAAATGGAGTTCGTTTGTTTTTTTAATTATTATTTTTCTACTTGTTTCTTTTTATTTTTATTTTTTTATTGATATCGTTTTCTTACTGTTTTTATCGCATGATAAGTGTTGCCTGTCTGTTGTTGACTACAATTGTCTAAACGGCTTTTATTTCAGAAAAAGAAGAAAGCGGCGTGGCTCCACACTTCGTCGAACCTCTGAAGCCTCAAATCGTTGAAGAAAAATCCGCAGCAGTTCTTCGGTGTAAAGTTGTGGGTCAACCAACTCCCAATGTCAAGTGGTTCAAGGACAATAAAGAAGTGGTTCCTACTCCAACTCGCCAAATTACCTATAATCCTCAAACAGGCATTGCCACTTTAGAATTGTTAGAACCCACACCCGAAGACGAGAAAATCTTCACTGTCAAAGCAGATAACAAGTTTGGTCAAGCTGAATGTCGAGCCAACCTCATCATCTCCAAAGCAGTGACAGTCACTCAACCTTTAGTCATGCAGGCACCGAGAATCATCAAACCGGTGAAAGCCGTAGTTGCTAAACCAGACGAAGAAATTGTCCTTGAGGCAGTAGTTGAAGGAATACCAGCACCTGAAATCAAATGGTTAAAGAACAACAAAGAAATCACACAGGGCGAGGAGTATGACGTCAAAGTAGAGGAAAAAAGGACTGTCTTAAAAATCAAAAAGAAGGTGAAAAAGAAGGGTGGCAAATACGAAGTACAGGCTATTAATCCAAAGGGAGAAGTCCGTTCATCAGGAACGGTCACAGTCACGCAGACCATCAGCGAAGAAGCCCAGCCACCTAAATTCGTCCAACCCATCAATCCACAATACGCCACAGTTGGAGAAGTCGTAATCTTGGAAGCCGAAGTCGAATCGTTCCCTGCAGCTTCCTTCCAGTGGTTCCAGAAACTCACACCCATTATATCTACACCTGAAATGAAGATCGTTTCCGAAGAAAATCGATCGACTTTGATTCTCACTGACGTCACACCAGAACAAGCAGGCACTATCACGTGCAGGGCGGAAAACGCGGTGGGTTCAGTCACTTGTACCGCCTCCCTTAACGTCGTTGAAGAAACAGAATGGGAGGAGGCACGCGAACTCGAGTACCCGAGATTCATCAAACCGTTGACACCGATCCGAGTGATGGACGGCGAGAAGGTAACTTTCAGTTGCGTTGTCACAGGCAAACCCATTCCAAAGGTTCAGTGGTACCTCAACGACTTACCTGTCAAGGAAGCTAAGGATGTAGTTATCTCTCAGAGCAGCGAAGGTGTCTGCATGCTAGCTATCGCCGAAGTGTTCCCCGAAAATGCTGGAATTTACACGTGCAAAGCTGTGAATAAAGTGGGCGAAGCGGTTTGCAAATCTTCACTCATTGTTGAAGGTACGTGGGTGTTTATGTATCAGAATTGGTGATGTAATCGCTGTTCTTTCAACAGCATACGAATACATACCGGACTCTGAGATGGGTCATTTGACTGGTTCTGAAGAAGACCTTCTGGCGGATAGAACAATTAGCGAAGGATTCCTTTCGGATAGTGACACAGAATGCGCTCCTAAGATCATCAAGAAGTTGCCACAAGTAGTTTCGACTAAAGACGGCGATGTTACAAAGTACGCTACACAAATCATTATTATTAAAGTACCAGTTACATGTTTTTTATTTTAGATTGGAAGTGAGAGCTGTGGGCAAACCTAAGCCTGAAGGCAAATGGTTGAAACAAGGAACGGAAATCATCCCATCTCGCGATTTCCTGATCGAGAACTTTGAAGATGGCACTTCCATTCTTACCATTTCAGAAGTGTACCCCGACGATACCGGAGACATCGTCTATGAAGCACACAATCCACTCGGTGTTGCTGTGACAACCACACAGTTACTCGTAGAGAGCGCCGAAGGTAAACTTGAGAAACAAAGTGATCCGAGACATCACTTTAATAATTTTAATCAGTTTCAGCAACCCTTTTCCTCCCCCTCATGTTACTTTTTCAAACTATACTTTTTCAATTTGACACAGCTGATCCGATGCGTTTGTTAATCTACTAATAAAGTTCTCCTTTTAGGCATCCTTGGTACCAAAGAATACAGAAAACCGGAATGGGTTACTCACATGGAGGAACTTCAAGCTGCACTGAAAGGTAAATCAAACGTTCAGGCTTCTGTGTCGCATGCACGTTCGTTTGACATGTCAACTGACAGTCTTGAAACCCCTGTGCACAAAAGGAGAGAGGAAGGTAAGCCTTATGAGGACGCACCTACTAGCTCTTCGAAACCATTCTACTTGAACGAACCAACGGAATCGCAAGCTTCTTCATCTGCTTCGATATACAGCGAACCGAATCATGCAACCAAATCAAAAATGAGCTTCATTGAGAGCGCCATGGCCGATTATCTCAATTCCCACAGACACTCCTTGAGTTCGGTCATGGAACTGATAGACAAGAGCGAAAGAAGTCGCACTTTAACTAATGAAAGCGTCGAAGAAATTTTGAACGAACCAATCGTAGATGAGCCAGAAGAATACGAAGAGTCGGAAGAAGTGTACGCGGAAACTCACAGCAGACAGTCGCCTCAACCATTCTACATTCTTTCTCCCATAGAAGAAAAGAGTGAACCATCCACAAGAAGTAGTAGTTTTCGAGGCAGCAATGGTTCAGAGAATAGACGAAAGGCGTCTTATGACAACCGCTACAAACTGTCAAGTTCTTGTGATCCGCTACCTTCCGAAAAAGTAGCCTATGATTATCAAGAGAAGTATTTAACTTTTCCGAGAATTAAAAACGACGATGCTGCTCAGGGTCTGTACAAAAACTACTACAACGAAGAAACGATGTATCCTTTAGAACCCCGAGAGCTTGATCCTTGCGCCTTCCAACAACTCCATACCGCTGATAGTCAAGAAGAACTTCAAGAATTTTTGCTGTTGGAAAGCGAGTGCATGAATGACCGTGGACGTGGTTTAGCTTCAGCTTTTATCGACTCCAACGAAAATGTTTCAGAAAAATCTAGTAAAGGTAACACTAATGCTAATTTGTGAGCACTAATACCTGTTTTGTGTGTTTTCTCTAATCTAGACCAATAAATCCGTTTTATAAGGCCAGGCAACTTAACGATGAAGGTAGGTCAAATTTCGCCCCTTCTTTGTCCACACGTGCTAATTGCCATTTTCTCTTTAGCTGCTCAAAGCCCACCAACATTCGTCCAAGAAATCACAGATGTACGAACCACAGAAACCGAAACAATCAAATTCGAATGTTTGTTTTCAGGAACACCAACTCCAGGTACTTATCGTCTAAATAAAATATTGTTTCTGATTTTTACTAATTCTAGATATTATCTGGTATCATAATGACAAAATTGTGCGAAATACCGACAAGGTTAAAGTTCGTATTGAAGATAATAAAACTTCTTGTACTATTACTGAGGTCACCAGCGAACATGTGGGTACATATGTTTGTAAAGCCGTGAGTGACATAGGCTTAGCCGTTACCAAAGCCAAACTATACGTACAAGAAATACCAGAAGAGAAGAAACGACTAATTCTCATCAAGAAAGCACACGAGCGGGAAGAAAAGATTCGAAAAGAAAGAGTCGTCATTGAGAAGAAACGTGAAGAACGGAAGAAGAGAGTCGTGCAGACGCGTGAAGAAGAGACCAAGCCTGTGGAAGTAAGCGAAGTGACTGCAGTAGAAACAGCCGAACAAATCGATATTGAAGAAACCAAGCCCGAGAAGGCTACACCCAAGTTTGACATACAGAAACCCGTAGCCACCGAAGCCGTCGCCAGTTGCAAAAAGATCGACGACACCGTAGAACTCGTCGAAGAAAAAGAAATGGCAAGGGCTCTCGTGTCACCGACAGAGCCTATGATCTCCGAAGAAATCCAACCAGGTGAAACGGTAAAAGGCTTTAAGGAAACCAAACACAAAACTCGCAAAGCCAGAGTCGACATTCAAGAAGTCGTCTCTGAATTCGCCGACATCACAGAAGTCAAACTGGAAGACGTCATTCAAAGGGTGGAAAAGATCATCAGAAGAAGCGAGATGAAAATGGGTAAAGAGGTGTCAGAAATGTTGGAGTTCATCAACGTGAAAGAATTTGGACCCGGAGAACATCCCTTGCGAGAGATCGCCGAAATTGGGTATTTGCTCAGAAATGGAGTGAGTACTCAAGAAGTCACCGTTTTGTACCACGAGAACAAGTTCCCTTCGCTTACTACACCACAAGCGCAGTCGGCCTTGGTTAATGTCGTGGAAAGAAAAGGTCATGGTGCCCTAATTTCAGAAGTGCTTACTGAAACAGCAGTCATCGATGAAAAACAACTGGCTGCTACCGTCGGGTTCAGGGCCCTTATGAAAATGGTCGAATCGAACTACGTCACAATTGAAGAAGTCATCACCAGTTTCATTCCAGAAGATTTTATACAAAGAGCTTGGGAAACTTCAGAAATAACAGAAGTACGAATACATAGTTAGATTGAATCGTTTTGCTAATTGCTCGTTTCTAGAGTTTCACTAGATCATCGTTCAAAGAAATGGTAACCATCAAAGAAGAAGTCGAAGTCCTGGAAGGTGAGTTTTGTGTGAGCTGTGCATGTTTTAGTGCCATACTTGTTGAAAAAAAACTTTACGTTATTGCCTGCCTATATTTTACGCATTGTTGTTTTTGCCTCAATAAACTATCAAAAGAGACTGATGTAGTTTTTATATCTAGACACTACGAAAGTGGTTACGCAAAAGGGTAAAAAAGAAAAAGATGAAGTTGGTAAGTTTATAGCTTCTCGCTCTTTATGACTTTCGATGTTGTAAATTAAAACCTACAAAAAACGAGAAAGATTTTTTATTTTTAATTAGATGTGCCAGTGGCTTTCATGCTACTGACACACGGCGAAATTTTTGCGTCTACCAACGCGCTTCTCTAACTTAGTGCAAATCGAGCGACTAAAGGCTGAAATGTCAAATTAGCGGCGACGCTAACAAAAGAACTGTGCGGCATGGCTTCTTCTTTGTGTGCTGCTTCTTTTTTTCTCTCTAGGTGAGTAGTCTCATAATCTAGATCTAGTCTCTCATACACTATGCTTAGAACCGTGCCACTCATGCCACTCAAGCCACTATCTCTTCACTGAAGCTAAGCTTCCGGCATGAGAAACTCACACTAATCAGTAGACGAACACAAACAATCATAAATACACTTCCACAGAAATCGTTGAAATCGAGGAAGAAAGCACGGCAGCTATCAAAGGCACTACACAACCAGAAAAAACACAAACCGACGAAAAGTTGACGATTACGGAATTGCCCGTTGATCAGCCAGAACTTGAGTCCAAAGCGCCCTGGCGCAGACAGAAAATCGAACAAATAGTCGAAGTAGAAGAGAAAATCCGGCGCAAAAAGTCGCAAGAAAAACAACACAAAGAGCGCGAAATCGAAATCGAAGAAGAAGAGGAAGAAGAAGTAGAGAAAGAGTTAAAAGCGCGAAAAATAAAAGCACACAGACCTAAAGTCGGTGAATATGACATGGACGAAGAAGAGTATGACGAAATAGTACCTTTCGATGCTACCAAGCAGAAACAGATTCCACTCATCACACCTGGAATATATTCAGAAACCACACCTCTAGGGTTAGTTGCTCAAATTGAATCCGGAGATATCGCGCAAACCAAAGCTACTGTTGATCTTCTCACACATTCTGCTTTGGTTGAACAGCAAATTCAAGCCGAAGAGAAAGAAATCATTGGTGAAAAAGTCACTTCGGCCTCTTACGTGGCCAAAAAATCAATCGATACACGTGAAGCTTACGAAGTTAGTGAACAAGACGTGCAAAGTGTACCAGGACAGTTTGAGGGTAGTTTCAAACCGACTCTATCAACGGCGTTCCCTAAATTTGCCTCTAGGGAAGGCATCACTGTACAAGAAGTGCTATTAGGTGACACATCAACTGCGTTGATCAAAGAAGACACGAAAGAATTTAAAGCCGACTTTTCTTTACTTCCGCAAGAAGCCACAAAAATCTCTGAAGTGGAAGTGTCTCTTAAAGAACAAAGTCTCGACGAATTCTCCATTCCTAAGCCTAGCCAAGCCAGCGGTACGTTCACAACTAAAGAAAGTGTCAATGTAGAAGAGATCTTCCATGGTGTAAGCGAAAGTACCTTAGAGATGATGAAACCGTCTACCGTAACAGGCAAAGTAAGTATAGACACTAGAGAGTCGCTGATTGTCGAAGAAGTCGAAGCTGAAACCAAACCAGGAAAACATTTACCAGAAGCTTTCGTTCCGACTGAAATTGCTACCATGGGGGTGATTCCTCAGAAATCACTCACTCAGTCCCAAATGGTCGCCCCAGAAACTGAAGGCGAGTACGTTCCAGGCCGGTTACCACCGACGCAAAAGGCTGACTTTAAAGTCACAACAGGTGAAAGCGTAATAGTTTCGCAAACTCAACCTCAAGACAAAGAAAATGTCTTCGCGAAGGCACCTAGTCCCGAAAAAGCATCGGCTAGCGAGGACATCATCCTCTCGGAAGGAGTCAGTGTGAGTGTGACAGACAGTCAGTTACCACAAAGAGACTTGACTGATGAAGTCTTTCCAAAAGAAGTGGCAAACGTAGAGATTCTTCCAAAAGAAACATTTTCAACTCAGACGACTCTGGCAGTGGAATCTGAAGGCAGCTACCACCCAGGAGACAAACCTAATTATAAAACCGCGGATACCACCATCATCTGTCATGAAGTTAACGACACGTCAATTGTTACCGCTCAAGAATCTGAAAATGTGTTAGATCTGGGCGAGAAGCCCGTACAGTCTCTCGCTGAAACTTCAGTCAGACCTGTCGAGTCTCTTACAGTTTCGGAAGTCCATACCACCGATGTACCTGATGAATTCAAGGATTACCCCAAATTCAAAACAGACACTGCTGTCAGCGACATCCAAATGCTCGAAGCTACTCACATCACCGAAACTAACATCAACGAGAAAGAATCGTCTTATATTGAAGACAAACCCGAAATGAAAACAGCTGAGAGCAATTACACCAGACCTCAAGACCAAATAGAAGTCACAGAACTGAATTACATGGAAAGCGAGAAGCAACTACAGGAGTTCGAGTTACCTGAAAGTCACAAAAGTAAAACCGTTACAAGTCACACTCTTCCAACTGGCATTGTTGAAGAGGTGAATCCTGAATACAGCGCCAGCAAACTAGATGAAACTGGGATTAAACCAACCCAAGCAGAGTTCAGTCAAACCACACACACTGAAACGGTTATTTCTGAAGCTGTGGCTGGAGAAACATTTGAAACTAAAGATTACGAAAAACCAGAGGGAAAACAGGCAGAGCTTCAAGTGCTACCAAGAGAAAGTCTTAACATTTCGGAAGTATTCACAGACGACAAGGAGAAAGAATATGTGCCAGGTGAATCACCTCTCATTCAACAAGCTACTTTTGATATAGATGCACAAAAGGTTGCTAGTAAAACCGAAGTTCAAGCAGACTACTCGACGCAGAAACTTGACACTGTACAACCTTCAACGGTTGTTGCAGAAACGGAACAAGACACTCTTGAGAGTGTCCAAATCACACAATGCGAGACAGCTGAGAAAGAAGTTGATGAAATCAAAAAGATTGAATTTGAGACAAAGCAAGTGGCGGTTGATATCACGGAAGCCCGACAAGGGCCCAATGTCACACAGATAATTACAAATGAAAGAGAGGAGGAATACGTACCTGAAGTTCAGCCACAACACGGTTTGGCACAACCGAACTTGACCCTTCAGGAGGTCATCGTGAAATCTGAAATCGAAACAGTCGTACACGCTGATGAAATAATAGAAGAAGAGTTACTGACAGGTAAAGCCAAGAAGTATGCAAAACCTTTCCAAGAACTAATAGTAACGGAAACTAACGTCGTTGATATTGAGAAAACTCTACCCAGAGACATCATGCCGGATAAGAAATCTGCTAACGTAGATATCATCCCTGGCCAAGAGTTATCAGTTACCGAAATAGTAACAGATCATAAAGAACAACCTCTTGAATATTCAAAACCGGTGGAGTCGCAAGCCGACTTCAACGTAACAGAATCACAGGTGGCTTTGAAGGAAGAAGTTTTGCCTGAAATCAGTCCTGGTGACTTTTCAAGGGAATCACCTGAAAAACAACTGGCCAAAGCGGCACAAGATGTATCTCATCCTCTGGTTCAAACGCAGTTCACTGCTGGCGAAAAAGAGGGTCTACAACCTGCAGACGTCAAACCCGACGAAAAGAAAGTCACTGTGGAATTTCTTGAAACCGAAGGCATTAACGTCACTGAAGTCACCTCTGACTACAAAGAAAAGGCATTCGAAGGAATGGCCAAACCAGAGGAAGCTCGAGGTGAGCAATCTGTTTCTTCACACGTAATAGCAACAAAAACGGAAGTTCAACCCGACCACTCCGTTGATAAATTTGTTCAGCCAGAAGTTAGCACCAAACAAGCGACGTGTGAAAGTTCGCTGCTTGAGAGCTTAACAACCGGAGAAGTGGTCGTTCAAGAAAAAGAGTCTGACTTCACGCAGTCTAAACCTGATTTGAAATCAGCAGAGGCCGATTATACTTTAGGTGAAGGGGTTTCAGTAACTTCTGTTTTGGCCGGCGACAAGGAAACAGATTTCACGGAAAAAGCAACGGACTTTGAGACAGCTGCTCCTATTTTAACCCCGCAAGATGAAGTTCAAGTAGGAGAAACCGTACCGGATGATACTCTCGGTGCCTATGACAGGTCTTCTCCAACTACAGCCACAGCTGTTAAAACTCAATCAGAGCTTCAAAGCGTTATCAATCTGGAAGCTATAATTGGCGAATCTGAAGGCGAATTTACCAAAGACACAAAACCGGAAGAAAAAACAGCGGAAGTTGAATTCGAAGAAACTAAAGCTGCTCTTGTATCAGAAACGTTGACTGGAGATAAAGAGAAACTTTACGAACAACCAGAAGCTGTGACCTCTGGTCAAGCTTCTTTAGCTTTTGACGTACAGCCCGTTGCCGAAACGAACATTATTGTGGCCGAAAACATTACTAAAGACGTTGTAGAAGTGGTACCCACAACAGCTCAAGCCAATGTCGATCAATCTACTTTAGAAAGCATAATCTTATCAGAATCGATGGTCCAAGATAAAGAAGGATCGTTTGAACAAGCACCTTTTGAAACTAAAACCGCCACTGTAGGATTCAGAGAGGACACCGGAGTAGTAATCACTCAAACTGAAAGTAGCGAAAGAGAGACAATTCTAAAACCGGGTGAAAAACCGGAAGGTAAACATGCTGAGACAGGTGTAGATACTTTGGAGCTCGTTGTTAAAACCGAAACTGACATTCATGACACTTTCAAAGATTTGGAAGTACCTCAACCAGAAACGGTGTCAGCTCAATCTGAATTTTCAACCTTCAAAACCGCTGTCAATCTTGAAACGGTTGCCACAGAATCAGACTTGCCTCTAGAGGTTGCTACACCTGAAACTAGAAACGTCGTCGTTTCAGTCAATGAAGGTCAAAGCGTTATAGTCGAAACTGTAATTACGAATGAAAATGAGAAAGAATTCGTAAAGGAAACAACTGAAACCAAAGTTGCTGAGACAAGCTTTGCTGATATGAAAAGTGTAGCATCCACTTTCCAAACCCAAGCAGATTTAGGTGTCGGAGAGTTGAAACCTGAAACTCGAGATACAACAACAGCGGTACCTGAAACTGTACCTTTCACCCCCTTAATGCAGTCTGAACAAGTGATCGTCGATAAAGAAGATGTGTTTGAAAAAGGAGTTAAACCCAGCGAAGCAACCGCTAATATTAATGTGCAACCAGTTGAAGGAATATCCATCTCTGAAGCCACTTTGGCCGTTAAGGAAGACACTCTAGCTCCAATCACAATGCCTTCTGAAAAGTTTGCGGTTAAAAACATCGACGTAACTCACGCCGTTGCAGAACAGAGTACCATAGATTCCTCTGCTGATATCAAGAAATTCGAAACCGCCAAACCTGAAACACAACAAGCCTCTGAAAATGAAGAAGCCTTGTCAAGTTTGATCATTTCTGAAAACTTAGTTGAAGAGAAAGAGGCAGAATTTGAAGGCAAATTTGTTCCGGCTACAACAAAAGTGAATGTATCGTTGGAAGAGGGAAAGAAAGTTGTTTCGGTAAGTGAGTCTTTGACACAAGACAAGGAAGGTCTTGTGAAGGAATTTGACTTACCAAAGTCTCAACAAGCCACTACTGGCTTTGACGCCAAACTAGTACCCGAGCAAACTCAAGTCGAGTCACAAACTCTCCCCGGTGAATTGAGTCATGAAGCTCCCACAACATCAACAGCGTCTGTCAAACACACTACCTTCGAGGAGTTAATTCAGTCGATACCGATAGTTCAAGAGAAGGAGGAAAGCCTCGATCAAAAGAAAGATTACGTGACTAAGAAAGCAGAGGTTGAATTTGAAGAAGGTAAGATTATATCGACGTCCGAAATAATTACTGCTGAACGAGAGAGTTCGTTGGAGGAACAACTCAAACCCGAATCAAACACTGCTAGTGTTAATGTAGTGAGTCACACTTCCATGCAGAGCTCAGAAATCTTAACTAGTATGACTGTGGGTGACTTCGTGCCCGCTATACCCAGTGAAGCTTCTGCTGTCCCCGAACAAAATGTCTTAGAAGGGTTGACACAAAGAGTGACGGAAGTCCTCGACACCTTCGGACAATTCGAAGGTACCTTTAAACCCGCAACGAAAACAGCGGACACCAAAATCGACACTCTGACGGAAATCACCACCAGTGAAACCTTCACAGAAGCACAAGCAGACGAGTTTACTAAATTCGAAGCCAAAACTGAGAAAGCTACAACTGAGTACGACGCAACCAAGAGACCGTTGCAAGCTTCCGAAGTACTCACTAGTGAGAACGTAGCCGAGTTGAAACCTGAAGCCAAAGAGTCGGCTACTGGAAACGTAACTCAAAGTACTCTCGAAAGCGTCATTCTTTCAGAAAGTATAGTACACGAATCGGAAAAAGAGTTTGATAAGGTACCTGATTTTGATACAAAGAAGGCAAAACCAAGCATTGACGAAAAAGCATCAGTTACGATTACTGACGTCACGACACAGGAGAAAGAAAAAGAGCTTGTCAGCGACTTTACAAAGGAGGAGAAGTTTGGCGTTTCTAATATAACGTTCGACTTGACTACAAGCTCCAAAACTGAAGTACTGCTTCATGAGAACATCGGCCAACTCACCAGTGACAAACCTAAAACGGAAACGGCTGAAGTCAGTGAAGGAACTCAGCAAAGCGTTATTATTTCAGAGCGAACTGTTCAAGAAACGGAAGTTCCGTTCTCTGAAACTCCTGTCGAAGGTAAAAAAGGTGACTTGACGGTAGTTCCGGCAACACACGTTTCCATTACTGAAATCACAGCAACTGATAAGGAGACAGAATTCGAAAAAACGGCCATATTTAAGACGAGTACAGCTGAACAATCAATTAGTGCTCAAGAGGCACCTCAAATCCAGGAAACAACGGTCCAGGAAGGAGTGACTACTCTAACCACAGAAGTCCCCGATAAAAGTCAAGCTTTACAGGAACATGTACCCCACAGCACTGTCAGTATTACTGAAATTACGTCAACTGAAAAAGAAGGTGATTTCAGAGACCTTGAAAAACCGGCAGGTCAGTTGGCTGCTTTCGAGCTTGAAGAAACCCGAAGAACAGCTTCAACCGCCCAAGTGATCACACAAGAAAAGGAAATTAGTTTCGAAGGGACTTTCAAATTTACAACTTCAACAGCTGAGAAGAGCATCACTTCTCAGGAGGCTCCTCTGATTGAGGAAGTCACCACTGAAGAAGATGTAACGAAACTGAAAACAGATATTCCTGAGCAAGAACAAGCTCTTCAGGAACATATCCCTCACACGACTGTCAGTATTACGGAAATCACGTCCACTGAGAAAGAAAGCGACTACAAACCAGGCGATAAACCTACAACCTTCTCAGCTGAGATGGAATTAGAAGAGACACGAAAGACGGCATCCACTGCTCAAGTTTTGACTCAAGAGAAAGAAATCATCTTTGAAGAAACCGTCAAATTTAAGACCTCGAAAGCCGACAAAACAATTAGTCCTCAAGAAGCTCCTTTAATAGAAGAAGTAACCACGAGTGAAGACACCGGAAAGTTAACAACTGAAGTTCCTGATAAAGTCGAAGCCCAAACGGAACACATTCCACACACTACTGTTAGCATCACCGAAATAACGTCGACGGAAAAAGAAAGCGATTATAAACCAGGTGATAAACCTACGACGCAATCCGCTGAATTTGATTTGGAAGAAACTAGAAAAACTGCGTCCACTGCCGAAGTCATTATTCAAGAAAAGGAAAGTAGTTTCGAAGGAACTGTAACCTTCAAAACTAGCAAAGCCGATAAAACGATTACGCCTCAAGAAGCTCCATTAGTGGAGGAAGTAACCACCAGTGAAGATACCACAAAACTGACAACAGAGAAACCTGAAGGAGAACAAGCGTTACAAGAGCACATTCCTCACTCTACAGTGAGTATCACTGAAGTTACTTCAACTGAAAAAGAGAAGGATTTCAAACCCGGAGATAAACCAGCAACACAGCTTGCAGAGTTTGAGTTAGAAGAAACTAGAAAGACCGCTTCTACTGCTCAAGTTATCACTCAAGAAAAAGAATCAGTGTTTGAAGAAACTCAGATTAAATCAACGACAGCTGATAGAATAGTTAGTCCCCAGGAAGTTCCCTTGGTTGAAGAAACTCGAGTACAAGAAGACTTAGGCAGCCTGAAACCGGAAGTTCCAGACAAAGGAGAAGCTCTTTCGGAACATGTACCCCATTCAACTGTAAGCGTAACAGAAGTAACTTTAACCGAAAAGGAAGGAGTTTATAAACCCGGAGACAAACCAGCGACACAATTGGCAGGCTTGGAATTGGAGAAAACACGAAAAACAGCTTCCACTGCCGAAGTTGTTGTAGAAGAAAAAGAAAGCACATTTGAAGAGAAGGGTATTACACCTTCTAAAGCTGATAAAACCGTAAGCCCTCAAGAAGCTCCTCAAGTTCAAGAAACAACTGTGCAAGAGGATGTCGGGAAATTCAAGCCCGAAGTTCCGTCAACACAACTTGCAGAGTTCGATTTGCAAGAAGGAAGAAAAGTCGGTCAAGAAACTCAAGTTAAAACTTACGAAACGTTTGAAGAGTTCACTGAAAGTGCTAGAGATGTACGAAGAGCTTCTACGTTGACTATCCCTCTAGAAGGTGTGGTTCAGAGTGAAGTGACAGTTCAAGGTACTACAGAGAAAATAAAGACCGAAGAGACGACTTTCAGGACTGCCAGTGTGGACATTCTTTTGAAGGAAGGTGTGACGGTGACCGAAGTCACCACACAAGGGCAATTAGGTAAGGAAATAACAGAAGCCCTGGCAAAGGAATCCACAGCACAAGAAGAAATAGTCCATCGGCCGGTTTCCTTGAAAGAGGAAACTATTCCACTTCAAACCAGTGATGAGTTCACGACCGAAAAGCCAAAGTTAACGAAAGCTCAGAGCGACCTGACAGAAAAGCACGGGCTCATAGTTACTGAAATGAAGTCAACGGGCAATTTGGAAGCGTTTGATTTGGAAAAAACTTCTTCAAAGACTGTTAAAGTTGTATTGGAGGATAGTTCCGCGAGTTTGGAGATAAGCGAAGTTCAGTTACAGGAGAAAGAAGGTGAGTTCGCCTTTCAGCGAATGACTAAACGAGTAAAACTAAACGAAATAAAAATAAATCAAATAAAATAAATAAATAAAATGGTAATCAAAAATGATCTAAAATGAGAGACGAGCTTAAAGAAAGAGATTAAACCTCCTAACATCTCCCGCCATGTTACACTTACAAATGTATACAAACACAAATGCACACATTACACTTGACACATGGCATTGATGTTCTTCTTGTATATAAACACACGTTACAATTACAGGTCCGTTGGATGAAACAGAACCACACAAAACACGAGCCAGAGTTACACAAACCACATCTCTGACCCAAACAGCAGAGCAACACACCTCAGTTATCCAACAAGATGACACACCCAAGAGCCATACAGAGGAAACACACGAAATCATTACCAAATTTAAATCTGTACCCGATAGCGACGAAATTACCCAAACTGTTACCAAAAAAACAATTATCAAAAAGCGCGGCAAAAAAACAGAAGAAGGTGACGTAATTATCGAAGAAGTCTTAGACGAAATTGCGCCAGAAGAAAAAGCAAAGGTAAGTCCCGACATCGAAGAAGTAACAGAAGAGTGGCCAGAAATCGTTGAAGTTAAACCAGAAGTAGTAGATGACACGGAAATAACAATCAAGAGACAAAAGAAGACCGAAAAGAAAAAGAAGGTTATTACAGAAAAACGAGTTGTCGAAGAAGAGAAACCCATAATTCAAGAACTACCAGAAGAAGTACAGGAAGTAGAAGAAGAAACAGATGGAAAAATCACAAAGAAAATCATTAAACGTAGAAAGATCCGCAAGAGCAAAGGCGGTAAGCAAGAAGATACAGAAATATTAACAATCGAAGAAGAAGGCAAAACACCCCAAGTAACTGTCACGGTTGAAGAAATTGAAGTACCTGAAGAGGTACAAGAATTACCAGAATTTAAACCCGAAGAAGTACAAATAGAAGAAGCACCCGAAGAAACACAGATAATAAAAACCACATCACAAGATGGTATCACCAAAGTAAAAACTGTCAAACGTAAAGTGTACAAAAAACGCAAAGGTGACAAGAAAGAACATACAGAAATTGTCACCGTTGAGGAAGAAGGTGAAGAACCTGTTACTACAGTTACAGTCGAAGAGCTTCCAGCAGTTGAAGAAGTTCAGCCGCTTGAACCCGAATACGTAGAAGAACTACCAACAGAAGTCCACATAACAGAATCGGTTACAGATGAAGGAAAGTCGACGAAGACAACCGTCAAAAAAGTTAGACGCCGTAAGCACGGAAAGGAGGAAAAAACCGAAATTGTGACCGTCGAAGAAGAAGGTGCAGAGCCTGTAACAAGTGTCGTAACTGAAGAAATCGAAATTCCGGAAGTTACGGAAGTAAAAGAAAAACGCAGAAAGAAAATTATCAAAAAGATCAAACGAAGAGTTGGTGACAAAGAAGTAGTGGAAATCGTCGAAGAGGAAGAAAAACCAGAACCTTTGGAACAAATCGAATTACAACCTGAACAAATTGAGATCACCGAACTAGAGCCTGTAGTAGAGGAAGTAAAAGAAAAACGCACGAAGAAAATAATCAAAAAGATCAAACGTAAAGTAGGTGGCAAAGAAGTAGTTGAAATTGTTGAAGAGGAAGAAAAACCGGAACCTTTGGAACAAATCGAGCTACAGCCTGAAATAATAGAGGAAATTGAACTTGGGCCCGTCATCGAAGAAGGAAAACGTGTACGCAAAAAGAAGATCATCAAAAAGATCAAACGAAGAGTTGGTGATAAAGAGGAGGAAGAAATTATTGAAGAAGAAAAAACGGAACCTCTAGAACAAATCGAATTAGAGCCTGAAATAATTGAAGAAACTAGATTAGAACCTGTAGTAGAAGAAGTGAAAGAAAAACGCACGAAGAAAATAATCAAAAAGATCAAACGTAAAGTAGGTGGCAAAGAAGTAGTTGAAATTGTCGAAGAGGAAGAAAAACCAGAACCTTTGGAACAAATCGAGTTACAGCCTGAAATTATCGAGGAAATTGAACTTGGGCCCGTCATCGAAGAAGGAAAACGAGTACGCAAAAAGAAGATCATCAAAAAGATCAAACGAAGAGTGGGTGATCAGGAGGAGGAAGAAATTATCGAGGAGGAGAAAACAGAACCTCTCGAACAAATCGAATTACAACCTGAACAAATTGAGATAACCGAACTGCAGCCTGTAGTCGAGGAAGTAAAAGAAAAACGCACAAAGAAGATAATTAAAAAGATCAAACGTAAAGTAGGTGGCAAAGAAGTAGTTGAAGTTGTTGAAGAGGAAGAAAAACCGGAACCTTTGGAACAAATCGAATTACAGCCTGAAATAATCGAAGAAATTGAACTCGGCCCTGTCATCGAAGAAGGAAAACGAGTACGCAAAAAGAAGATTATCAAAAAGATCAAACGAAGAGTCGGTGATCAGGAGGAAGAAGAAATTGTCGAAGAGGAGAAAACTGAACCTCTCGAACAAATCGAGTTACAACCGGAACAAATTGAGATCACCGAACTACAGCCTGTAGTAGAGGAAGTAAAAGAAAAACGCACAAAGAAAATTATCAAAAAGATCAAACGTAAAGTAGGTGGCAAAGAAGTAGTTGAAGTTGTTGAAGAGGAAGAAAAACCGGAACCTTTGGAACAAATTGAGTTACAACCTGAAATAATCGAGGAAATTGAACTTGGACCCGTCATCGAAGAAGGAAAACGCGTACGCAAAAAGAAGGTTATCAAAAAGATAAAACGAAGAGTCGGTGATCAGGAGGAAGAAGAAATTATCGAGGAGGAAAAAACAGAACCTCTGGAACAAATCGAATTACAACCTGAACAAATCGAGATCACCGAACTACAACCTGTAGTAGAGGAAGTAAAAGAAAAACGGACCAAGAAAATAATTAAAAAGATCAAACGTAAAGTAGGTGGCAAAGAAGTAGTTGAAGTTGTTGAAGAGAAAGAAAAACCGGAACCTTTGGAACAAATCGAGTTACAGCCTGAAATTATCGAGGAAATTGAACTTGGGCCCGTCATCGAAGAAGGAAAACGTGTACGTAAAAAGAAGATCATCAAAAAGATCAAACGAAGAGTGGGTGATCAGGAGGAGGAAGAAATTATCGAGGAGGAGAAAACAGAACCTCTCGAACAAATCGAATTACAACCGGAACAAATTGAAATCACCGAACTGCAGCCTGTAGTCGAGGAAATAAAAGAAAAACGCACAAAGAAAATAATTAAAAAGATCAAACGTAAAGTAGGTGGCAAAGAAGTAGTTGAAGTTGTTGAAGAGGAAGAAAAACCAGAACCTTTGGAACAAATCGAATTACAGCCTGAAATAATCGAGGAAATTGAACTCGGGCCTGTCATCGAAGAAGGAAAACGAGTACGCAAAAAGAAGATTATCAAAAAGATCAAACGAAGAGTCGGTGATCAGGAGGAAGAAGAAATTGTCGAAGAGGAGAAAACTGAACCTCTCGAACAAATCGAATTACAACCTGAACAAATCGAGATCACCGAACTACAGCCTGTAGTAGAGGAAGTCAAGGAAAAACGCACAAAGAAAATAATCAAAAAGATCAAACGTAAAGTAGGTGGCAAAGAAGTAGTTGAAGTTGTTGAAGAGGAAGAAAAACCGGAACCTTTGGAACAAATTGAGTTACAACCTGAAATAATCGAGGAAATTGAACTTGGACCCGTCATCGAAGAAGGAAAACGCGTACGCAAAAAGAAGATTATCAAAAAGATAAAACGAAGAGTCGGTGATCAGGAGGAAGAAGAAATTATCGAGGAGGAAAAAACAGAACCTCTGGAACAAATCGAATTACAACCTGAACAAATCGAGATCACCGAACTACAGCCTGTAGTAGAGGAAGTCAAGGAAAAACGCACAAAGAAAATTATCAAAAAGATCAAACGTAAAGTAGGTGGCAAAGAAGTAGTTGAAGTTGTTGAAGAGGAAGAAAAACCGGAACCGTTGGAACAATTTGAGTTACAACCTGAAATAATCGAGGAAATTGAACTCGGCCCTGTCATCGAAGAAGGAAAACGCGTACGCAAAAAGAAGATTATCAAAAAGATAAAACGAAGAGTCGGTGATCAAGAAGTGGAAGAAATTGTCGAGGAGGAGAAAACGGAACCTCTCGAACAAATCGAATTACAACCTGAACAAATTGAGATCACCGAACTACAGCCTATAGTAGAGGAAGTAAAAGAGAAACGCACGAAGAAAATAATCAAGAAGATTAAACGTAAAGTAGGTGGCAAAGAAGTAGTTGAAATTGTCGAAGAAGAAGAAAAACCGGAACCTTTAGAACAAATTGAGTTACAACCTGAAATAATCGAGGAAATTGAGCTCGGCCCTGTCATTGAAGAAGGGAAACGCGTACGCAAAAAGAAGATCATCAAAAAGATAAAACGAAGAGTCGGTGATAAGGAGGAGGAAGAAATTATCGAGGAGGAAAAAACAGAACCTCTCGAACAGATCGAATTACAACCTGAACAAATTGAGATCAGCGAACTACAACCTGTAGTAGAAGAAGTAAAAGAAAAGCGTAAGAAAAAAATCATCAAAAAAATCATACGTAAAGTTGGTGACAAGGAAGTGGTAGAAATCGTTGAAGAAAAGCCGGAACCACTCGAGGAAATTGAGTTGCAACCCGAAAAAGTAGAAGAAGTTGAGTTGCAACCAGTTACCGAAGAAACAGAAGTTAAAGAGAAACGTAAGAAAAAGATTACCAAAAAGGTTAAACGCAGAATTGGTGACAAAGAAGTTGTGGAAGTCGTCGAAGAAGAAGAAAAACCAGAACCGTTAGAACAGCCAGAAAAGATATCTACAGAGGTTCACGTTACTGAGACAATAACAGAAGAAGGACTACCACAGAAAACGACTGTTAAGAAAATTCGTAAACGTAAAGGTGATAAAGTGGAGAAAACCAAAATTGTTACTGTTGAAGAAGCAGGTAAAGAACCTAAAACTTCTGTCACTGTTGAAGAAGTCATCGAACCGGAACAATTAGAAGAATTGCCAGAATTTAAACCAGAAAAAGTTTCCACCGAAACCGAAGTAGTCCAACATGTAACCGAGGAAGGTAAACTTCTTAAAACCACAGTTAAAACTACCAAAAAGCGTAAAGGTAAAAAAGAAGAACGAACTAAAGTGGTCACAGTCGAAGAAGAAGGTAAAGAACCTCAAAGTTCAGTTACTGTAGAGGAAGTTAATGTACCTGAAGAAGTTGAAGAACTACCCGAATTTAAACCTGAGAGTGTTTTTACTACAACGGAAGTGGTCAAAGGTGTCACTGAAGAAGGTAAAGCGGTCAAAACCACAATTAAAACTGTTAAAAAACGCAAAGGTAAAAAAGAGGAGAGGACTCAAACGGTCACTGTTGAGGAAGAAGGTAAAAAGCCTCAAACTTCAGTTACTGTTGAAGAAGTCAATGTTCCTGAAGAAATTGAAGAGTTACCTGAATTTAAACCGGAAAAGGTTTCTACACAAACTGAAGTCGTTCAAAGTGTCACTGACGAAGGCAAAGCCGTTAAAACCACAATTAAAACCATCAAGAAACGTAAAGGTAAAAAAGAAGAAAAAACGAAAATAGTTACGGTTGAAGAAGAAGGCAAAAAGCCTAAAACATCAGTTACTGTTGAGGAAGTCAATGTACCTGAAGAAATTGAAGAGTTACCTGAATTTAAACCGGAAAAAGTCTCTACACAAACTGAAATCGTTCAGAGTGTCACTGACGAAGGCAAAGCCGTTAAAACCACAATTAAAACTGTCAAGAAACGCAAAGGTAAAAAAGAAGAAAAAACTAAAATTGTTACGGTTGAAGAAGAAGGTAAAGAACCGAAAACCTCAGTTGTTACAGAAGAAGTCATTGTTCCTGAGGAAATTGAGGAAATTCCAGATTTTAAACCAGGAAAAATTTTCACGGAAACTTTCGTTACAGAAAGTGTTTCTGAAGAAGGCAAACCTGTGAAAACAACCGTTAGGAAAGTGAAGAAACGTAAAGGACGTAAGGAAGAACGAACAGAATTTGTTACAGTAGAAGAAGAAGGTAAAGAACCTATAACTGAAATTTCTGTACAGGAAATCGAAGTGCCAGCAGAAGAAATTGAGGAAATACCAGAAAAAATATCAACCGAAACTTATGTCACAGAAACAACGGACGAGGGTAAACCAACAAAAACAATTGTTAAGAAAATCAAAAAACGTAAAGGTGACAAACAACAAACGACCAAAATTGTAACAGAGGAAAAAGAAGGCGAAGAGCCCAAAACTACTGTAACAATTGAGGAGATTCCTGTGGAAGAAGTTACAGAGCAATTACCAGAAATGAAACCTGAAGAAATATCTACTGAAACATATGTCACAGAATCAGTAACAAAAGACGGTAAACCAAAGAAAACAATTGTAAAGAAAATTAAGAAACGTAAAGATGGTAAAGAGCACAGGACAGAAATTGTAACTGTTGAAGAAGAAGGTAAAAAACCTAAAGAGACTGTGACAACAGAAGAAGTTCCAATCGAAGAACCATTGGAGGAACTACCTGAATTTAAGCCCGAAAGCGTTTCCACAGAAACTTCAGTTACAGAATCAGTAACGCAAGAAGGCAAGAAAACTATTGTAAAGAAAATTAAGAAACGTCAACATGGTAAAGAAGAAAGGACAGAAATTGTAACCGTTCAGGAGGAAGGAAAAGAACCTGTGGTAACTGTTTCTGTTGAAGAGGTTCCGCTTGAAGAAATAAAACCGGAGGTTGAGGAGCCGAAAGAACCGAAAAAGAAAGTTAAGAAACCAAAGAAACCGAAAGAGGAAAAAGAAGAACCAGAGAAGATATTATTTGTTCCTCTTATTGAACAGAAAAAGAAAGAAAAGCAAGGAGATGTTTTAGACATGATACAGGCGGAACTTTTGAAAAAGGCATTGGGACACGAGTTGCCAGAGCGAAAGCCAGAGGAGGAAACTGTTGAAACTCATGTCACTGAAAGTACAACTGATAAAGGAAAAACTAAGAAAACAATTGTGAAGAAAGTTAAAAAACGTAAAGGCGACAAAGTTGAAAAAACAGAAACAGTAACTGTCCAAGAAGAAGGTGAGGAACCTACTACAACAGTAACAGTGGAAGAAACACCAGTAATAGAAGAAGTACAGGAATTACCAGAGTTTAAACCTGAACAAGTATCAACTGAAACTTTCGTAACAGAATCAGTAACTGAGGAAGGCAAACCTGTGAAAACTATTGTGAAGAAGATTAAAAAGCGTAAGCGTGGTAAGGAAGAAAGGACGGAAATTGTGACTGTAGAAGAGGAAGGTGAGAAACCTAAAACAACAGTGACCGTCGAAGAAGTACCTGTTGTAGAAGAGGTACAGGAATTACCTGAGTTCAAACCTGAACAAGTATCAACTGAGACAGTAGTGACCGAATCAGTAACTGAAGAAGGCAAACCAGTGAAAACTATTGTGAAGAAGATCAAAAAGCGTAAGCGTGGTAAAGAAGAAAGAACGGAAATTGTGACTGTCGAAGAAGAAGGTGAGAAACCTAAAACAACAGTAACCGTCGAGGAAATACCTATTGTGGAAGAAGTAGAAGAGTTACCTGAGTTTAAACCTGAACAAGTATCAACTGAGACATTTGTAACTGAATCAGTAACTGAAGAAGGCAAACCTGTGAAAACTATTGTGAAGAAGATCAAAAAGCGTAAGCGTGGTAAAGAAGAAAGAACGGAAATTGTGACTGTTGAAGAGGAAGGTGAGAAGCCTAAAACAACAGTGACCGTCGAAGAAGTACCTATTGTAGAAGAGGTAGAGGAATTACCTGAATTTAAACCTGAACAGGTATCAACTGAGACAGTCGTAACCGAATCAGTAACTGAAGAAGGCAAACCAGTGAAAACTATTGTGAAGAAGATCAAAAAGCGTAAGCGTGGTAAAGAAGAAAGAACGGAAATTGTGACTGTCGAAGAGGAAGGTGAGAAGCCTAAAACAACAGTGACCGTCGAAGAAGTACCTGTTGTAGAAGAGGTAAAGGAATTACCTGAATTTAAACCTGAACAGGTATCAACTGAGACAGTCGTAACCGAATCAGTAACTGAAGAAGGCAAACCCGTCAAAACTATTGTAAAGAAGATCAAAAAGCGTAAGCGTGGTAAAGAAGAAAGAACGGAAATTGTGACTGTAGAAGAGGAAGGTGAGAAACCTAAAACAACAGTGACCGTCGAAGAAGTACCTGTTGTCGAAGAGGTACAGGCATTACCTGAGTTCAAACCGGAACAAGTATCAACTGAGACAGTCGTAACCGAATCAGTAACTGAAGAAGGCAAACCCGTCAAAACTATTGTAAAGAAGATCAAAAAACGTAAGCGTGGTAAAGAAGAAAGGACGGAAATTGTAACTGTCGAAGAAGAAGGTGAGAAACCTAAAACAACAGTAACCGTCGAGGAAATACCTGTTGTAGAAGAAGTAGAGGAATTACCTGAGTTTAAACCTGAACAAGTATCAACTGAGACATTTGTAACTGAGTCAGTAACTGAAGAAGGCAAAGCAGTGAAAACTATTGTAAAGAAAATTAAGAAGCGTAAGCGTGGTAAAGAAGAAAGGACAGAAATTGTGACTGTCGAAGAAGAAGGTGAGAAACCTAAAACTACAGTGACGGTCGAAGAAATACCTGTTGTAGAAGAGGTAGAGGAATTACCTGAATTTAAACCTGAACAAGTATCAACCGAGACTGTCGTAACCGAATCGGTAACTGAGGAAGGCAAACCCGTGAAAACTATTGTAAAGAAAATTAAGAAGCGTAAGCGTGGTAAAGAAGAAAGGACGGAAATTGTGACTGTCGAAGAAGAAGGTGAGAAACCTAAAACAACAGTGACCGTCCAGGAAATACCTGTTGTAGAAGAAGTAGAGGAATTACCTGAGTTTAAACCTGAACAAGTATCAACTGAAACTGTTGTAACCGAATCAGTAACTGAAGAAGGCAAACCAGTGAAAACTATTATAAAGAAAATCAAAAAACGTAAGCATGGTAAAGAAGAAAAAACGGAAATTGTCACCGTCGAGGAAGAAGGTAAAGAACCGGAAGTAACAGTTTCCGTAGAAGAAACGGAAATACCAGAAGTTGCTGAAGAGGAACCAAAGGAACCTAAAAAGAAAATCAAAAAGGTAAAGAAACCTAAAGAAGAAAAAATATTATTCGTTCCTTTGATTGAAGAGAAAAAGAAAGAACAAGAAGAAGAACCACAGGGAGATGTGATAGAAATGATTCAAACCGAACTACTGAAAAAAGCTTTGGCGCATCAACTGCCTGAAATGCCATCTACGGAAGAAACAGAAACGTTTGAGACTGTAACTGAAGAGGGTAAAGCAAAGAAAACTACAATAAAGAAAATTAAAAAGCGTAAAGGTGACAAAGAACAACGAACTGAAATCGTGACAGTGGAAGAAGAAGGTAAACCTCAAGAAACGACAGTTACGACGGCGGAAATTCCAATTCAAGAAGCGATTGAAGAAATTCCTGAATTTAAAGAAGCTATTTCTACAGAAACTCATGTGACTGAAACTGTGAGTAAAACAGGCAAACCCACAAAAACCATAGTTAAGAAAATAAAGAAACATAAGGGTGCTAAAGTGGAAAAAACTGAAATCGTGACAGTTGAAGAAGAGGGTGAGAAACCAAAAACTACGGTTTCTGTTGAAGAGTACGACGTTCCTGAAAAGCTAGAAGAAATACCAACCATTGTTCCAGAGAAACCAGATTTCGTAGAAGAGTTACCTGCAGAAGTTCAAGTTATCGAAACCGTAACTCCCAGTGGTAAACACAAGAAGACGATTGTTAGAAAACTGAAGAAGCGCAAAGGCGACAAAATTGAACAAACTGAAATAGTAACAACTGAAGAAGTAGGCAAGAAGCCTACGACAACCGTTTCAGTCGAAGAAATCGAAGCCCCTGAAGAATTAGAAGAAATTCCAGCGATCAAGCAAGAAGAACCTCGATATGTTGAAGAACTCCCAGTTGAAATCCAAGTCACTGAAACCAAAACGAAAGAGGGTAAACCCCGGAAAACAATTGTTAAGAAAATCAAGAGGCGCAAAGATGGAAAAATAGAGGAAACAAAAGTCACGCGAGTGGAAGAGGAAGGTAAAACGCCACAGACTACTGTTCTTATTGAAGAAACTGAAATACCCGAAACACCAGATCTAAAGGAAGCCAAAATTTCCACTGAAATACAAGTAGTGGAAACGATCAGCGAGGAAGGTAAGCCCAAGAAAACAATCACAAAGAAAATAAAGAAACGTAAAGATGGTAAAGAGGTAAAGACCGAAACTGTGACAGTGGAAGAAGAAGGAAAGAAACCGAAAACAACAGTTATTGTTGATGATTTCGAAGAATGCCAAGATCTAGAGATCGAAAAATTAGAACCTGAAAAAGTGGATCATATTGTTGAATTGCCTGTTGAAATACAAGTTACAGAAACGGTAACTAAAGAGGGTAAGCCTAGAAAAACGACCGTGAAAAAGCTTCGCAGACGCAAAGGTGACAAAGTTGAGAAAACAGAAATTGTGACAGTAGAAGAAGAGGGTAAAAAGCCTACAACTACGGTATGTATTGAAGAGGTTCCAGATGAAACTGAAGAAATGCCAGAAACGAAACCAGACTACATCGAAATATTACCAGTGGAGGTACAGGTAAGTGAAGCGGTAACTGAAGAAGGTAGTTCTAAAAAAACCATTATTAAGAACATTAAACGGCGTAAAGGTAGTAAAATTGAAAAAACAAAAGTAGTAACTGTAGAAGAAGAAGGTAAACAACCTGAAGTTACGGTATCAGTTGAAGAATCTGAAACACCTGAAGAATTGCAGCCGGAAAAAGTTTCGACTGAAATAGAAGTCACCGAAACAGTCACTAAAGAAGGTAAGCCTAGAAAAACTACAATCAAAAAGACGAATAAACGTAGAGGAAGTAAGGTAGAGATTTCACAAACTGTAACAGTAGAAGAAGTAGGGGAGAAACCGCAAACGACCGTATCGATTGAAGAAATCGACGTTCCTGAAGAAATTCAAGAAATACCTGCACTTCCGTTTGAAACACCTGATTACATAGAAGAACTTCCTGCTGAAGTGGTAGTAACTGAAACCATCACGAAAGACGGTAAACGACAAAAAACCACAGTTAGAAAAGTAAGAAAACCCAAAGGGTTGAAAGAAGAAAGAACAAAAGTTGTAACAGTGGAAGAAGAAGGTGAAGAACCTGTAACTAGCATCCTTGTTGAAGAAGGACCAGTTGCTGAAAAACCGGAAGAAATCACAAAACCACTTGAAAAATTACCGATAGAAGTCACAGTTACGCAAACGGTAAGTAGTGAAGGCAAACCTAGAAAAACCACGACCAAAAAAATAAAACGTCGCCATGGTAACAAGGAAGAAATTACAGCAATTGTCACAACAGAGGAAGAAGGAAAGGAACCGCAAACGACGGTCGCGATTGAAGAAATAAACCTACCTGAAGAGATTGAACTTTTGCCCGAAAAACCAACAGTAATCGAAGAACTTCCAACTGAAATTAAAGTAACCGAATCTATAGGCAAAGATGGAAGACCCACTCGAAAAACAGTGAAAGTGCGACGTCTGCGTAAACGCAAAGGTAGTAAACAAGAGGACACCCAGATTGTAACAGTGGAAGAAGAAGGTAAAAAACCTGTGACAAGTGTCACTGTGGAAGAAACTGAAATTCCGGAAACAGTTCAAGAAATACCTGAAATCAAACCAGAGGAAGCTGTATACCTAGAGGAATTGCCTACGGAGGTACAAGTTACCGAAACTATAACTAAGGAAGGCAAACCTAAACGAAAAATTGTTAAAACCCGGAAACTCCGTAAACGCAAAGGTAGCAAACAGGAAACCACTGAGATTGTAACAGTCGAAGAAGAAGGCAAACAACCACAATTTTCTGTGTGTGTTGAAGAAATCGACGCACCGGAGGAATACCAAGAAATTGCAGATATTGTACCACTTGAACCAACTTACATTGAAGAACTTCCAACGGAAATCAAGGTTACCGAAGTTATAACCAAAGAAGGTAAACCGAAAAAGAAAACTGTAAAAATTAGAAAAATTAGAAAGCGTAGAGGCAGCAAACAAGAGGATACTCAAATTGTGACAGTTGAGGAGGAGGGAAAACCTACGGAGACTATAGTATCGGTGGAGGAAACCGAAATTCCTGAACAATTACTAGAAAGCGTTAAACCATCCGAAGTTCTGATAGAAGAACTGCCTCAAGAAGTGCAAATAATAGAAACGACCACTCCTGACGGTACAACTAAAAAGCAAAAAGTTAAAACACGTACTATTAAAAAGCAAAAAGGTGATAAAGAAGAACAAACAAAAATTGTTACTGTAGAGGAAGAAGGAAAAGAACCTGAAATAACAGTAACGATTGAAGAAAGTGAAGTTCCAGGTAAACCTACGAAGAAAAAAGTTAAAAAACCAAAGAAACCAAAAGAAGAAAAGCCAAGCGAAGGCGAAAAAATATTATTTGTACCAACGTTGGCACAAAAAGAGCAGGAAGGAGATGTTGTAGGAATGATTCAAGTCGAGCTCCTCAAAAAAGCATTAGCTCATGATTTACCAGAAAGGCCACAAGAAGAAGTAATTGAACTTCCAGAAATCAGTGCCGTTGAGGAATTACCTGAGGAAGTAATACAAGTTGAAGAAATCGACAAGAAAGGGGTTCCGGTACAAAAAACAATCAAAAAACGTACAATTAAAAAGAAAAAGGGCGATAAACTAGAAATAACAAAAATTGTCACAACAGAAAAAGAGGGTGAAACTCCAGAAACTACTATAAGTACGGAAGAAGTAGATAAAGATAACGAATTGTATCAGCAACCTGGAGTACCCCTTACAGAATTACCTGAAGATGAAGAGGTTATTGAAATCAGTACAAGTGATAACGTGCCAAAGAAAAAGGTCACAAAAAAGAAAACTTTGCTGAAAAAAGTGGGTCCGAAAACAGAAGCTACTGAAATTGTGACTGTCCTCGAAGACGATAAAAAGCCAGAACAAACAGTCACGGTGAAAGAATATCCATCCAAACCTAAAAAGATTATTAAAAAGGTGAAAAAAGACAAACCGAAACCGGATGGTGCAGAAACAACAGAAAAACCTCAACCTATGACACTAGAAATTATTAAAATGGAACCCACAAAAGTAAAAATAGTCAGCAAAGAAGAAATACCTCTATTAAGTCAATTAAAGAAACCTAAAAGGGCACCAAAGAAAGAACTAAAAACTGTTAAATTCCCCAAGGTTCGTTTAACGAGCAGAATCGTACGAATTACTTTCCCACCAGAATCTGAGCAAGAACAAACACCAGTTATCACTCAGCGCAAGCGTGACCTTAAAGATCACGGCGAACTTTCTAGAAATGTGAAAGAAGCAGAACAAGTCTTAAAGAAAAAGAAATTTAAAGTAAAAGATATTGAGAAATTCGTTGCTGATTTGGAAACACCCGAGGACACAGAACTTCCCGAAAAAACAAAAATTAAAAAAGATAAACCGAAAGAAAAATACGAAAGAAAACCTAAACCCTCACCGGAAGACGAGGAACAACCGGAAAAATTAAAAATTGGCAAAGGCCAAATACCTAAACAAGACGATGAACAAGAAATCGTCAAACTCAAAAAAGTACCTGAAAAACCTGGGGAAGAAAAACCAGAGATACCCGGAAAGGCTAAACCGAAGCCCAAACCGGAACAGAAACCTAAAGAGGAGAAACCTGAAGATGAAACTGATCGAATCAAATTTAAGCCCTATGATATTGATGTGCCTGATACGGAACTTGAGAAACCAGAAAAAATCGATCATGATAAAGAAAAAGACGATAAAGAGAAACCGAAGGGTAAATATAAACCTAAAAAGAAAGAAAAGGCGGAACCCGAAAAAACAGAAACTCCGTTAATTAAAGGTAAACCTAAGGAAAAACCGGACGAAGAAGTTGAGGATATTAAATTAAAATATAAACAAAAACCGAAACCTGACGAAGAACCAGAGACTATTAAACTAAAACCGTGGAAAAAGGAACGTGATGATGAAGTCACTCCAGTTAAACTGTTAGATAAAATAGAATTCAAAGTACCAAAAGTGTCATATATTGAAGAATTTCCGGAAAAAGAAGAAGTGATTGAGGAAATAGTTGACCAAAAGCCTAAAAAGAAAAGAGTAAAGACAAGAGTACTGAAACGAGATTTAGGTGATAAAAAAGAAATTACTGAGATTGTTACAGTACAAGAGGATGATAAAAAACCACAAACAACAATTATTACTACAGTTGAACCCACTGAAGAAAAACCCCTTGAAGCTCCCAAAGTTGAAAAGAGAATTATTCCAACCATAGTAATAGAATTACCAGAGGAAATTAAAGAAACGGAGGAGGAAACTCAAAAGGGAAAAGTAATAAAGAGAGTTATTAAAAAGAAAGTAATTAAAAAACGAGTAGGACCTATCGAGGAGGTGATCAACATTGAAACCGTAGAAATAGAAGGTAAAGAACCAGAAATTAAAGTAACGGTCGAAGAAGTTATATCTGATGAACTTCCTGAACTTACCGAAGGAGTAGTTATTGAAGAACTTCCAGAAAAAGTCGAGGAAGTTGAGGAAGAGGTTAGAGGCAAAATCAAAAAGAAGAAAATCAGAAAGCGCGTCTTTAAAAAGGACGACGAAGGCAAGAAAGAAATTACTGAAATCGTTTCAGTTGAAGATGACGAAAAGCCTGAAATCACAGCCTCTATCGTAGTCCCTGATTCCTCCAACACTGTCATAGTTGAGTTTCCAGAAGAAACTGAAATAACTGAAATTCGCAGAAAGAAGAAAATTAAAACAAAACGTACTATCAAAAAACAAATCGGCCCCATGCAGGAAATCACTAGAATTGAAACCGAAGAAGTGGAAGGTAAAGAACCAGAGACTTCTGTTACGATAGAGGAAATTATCGCAGACGATATTCCTCAAATCACTGAAGCAAAACCTGTTGAAGAATTACCAGAAAAAGAAATAATAGTTGAGGAGGAAGTTAAAGGTAAAATAAGAAGAAAGAAGATCAAAAAGAGAGTCATCAAGAAGGATGTAGACGGTAAACAAGAAATTACCGAAATTGTTACAACAGAAGAGGATGACAAAATACCAGAAGTCACTGTCACGACAGTCGTTCACGACATTTCTGCCACGGAACCTTCTGAAGAAGAAACGAAACCACTTGAACCGCAAAAACGAAAACCGAAGAAAGTAACCCCGACAATTGTAGAACTGCCTGAGGAGGTTACAGTTACTGAAGTCAAAATAGAAGATGCTCCCTCTAAAAAGGTTACTAAAAAAGTGAGAACAATTAAGAAGCAAATTGGTCCTATTCAAGAAATTACAAGGATTGAAACAGCTACTGAAGAAGATAACGAACCCGAAACGACTGTTACAATCGAAGAAATAATAGCTGACGAAACTCCTGAATTTGTTGAAGCTAAACCTGTGGAGGAATTACCCGAAAAAGTACAAGTTGTTGAAGAAATAGTTGAAGGAAAAATAAAAAGAAAGAAAATCAAGAAGAAAGTAATTAAAAAAGAGAATGGCCAAGGTCAAAAAGAGATTACTGAAATTGTGACAATAGAAGAAGAGGGGAAGGTACCTGAAAGGGTTGTCACAACTATAATCCCCGATGTTTCAACAATCGATGAAGAGACGGCTAAACCACTTGACACAAAAGAAACGCCTAAGAAAAAAGTGAAACCTACAGTAGTTGAACTACCGGAAGAAGTAAAAGTTACTGAGGTAGTAACTAAGAAAGGTCCTACCAAGAAAGTAACTAAAACTCGAATAATCAAAAAACAAACAGGACCGATTGAGGAAATTACAAAAATAGAAACGATCGAAGAAGAAGGAAAAGAACCCGAGTCTGTAATTACTGTAGAGGAAAAAATTTCAGACGAAGTATCTGAAATTATCGAAGCTCAACCTGTCGAAGAGCACGAAAAAGAAGAAGTAGTACATGAAAAAGTTGGTGACAAAGTCAAAACGAAGAAAATTAAAAAGCGAATTCTGAAAAAGATTGTTGACGGTAAACCAGATGTTACTGAAATTGTAACCATAGAAGAAGACGACGAAAAACCAAAGACCATTGTCACAAAATTGCATGACGTTAAAAGTATTGAAGATGAAATCAGTAAAATGTTTGAACCAGAAAAGGTCAAACCTAAACAGGCTAAACCAGTAATCGTCGAACTACCGGAAGAAATTAAAGTTACTGAAGTGAAAACAAGGAAAGGGCCTGTTAAGAAAACTACCAAGACAAGGGTAATTAAAAAACAAACGGACAATGTACAAGAAATCACGAAAATTGAAACCGCCGAAGTGGAAGGTAAAGAGCCAAAAACCACTGTAACAATCGAAGAAATTGTAACCGACGAGGTGCTTCCTCTTCAAGAAGCCACAGTTGTGGAGGAATTGCCAGAAAAAGTAGATATTGTAGAAGAAGTAGACAGAGGCAAGAAAATAACGAAGAAAATTAAAAAACGTGTTTTCAAAACGGATAAAGATGGCAAACAAGAAATTACAGAAATTGTAACTGTTGAAGAAGACGATAAATTACCCCAAACCACTGTTACAACTCTAATTCACGATACTTCCACTGTTCAGCCGCTTGAGGAGGAAACAACAGAGCCTCACGAGCCTAGTAAAACTAAACCCAAGAAAATTAAACCCACTGTAGTGGAAATGCCTGAAGTGAAAGTGACCGAAGTCACTACAAAGGAAGGAAAACCTGTTAAGAAAACAGTTACAAAGAAAGTCATTAAGAAACAAATCGGTCCGATTCAGGAAATTACCAAAATTGAAACAACAGAGGAGGCAGGTGAAGAACCTATAACCACTGTTACCGTTGAAGAAATTATTGCGGATGAACCCCTTGTTACCGAAGAAATTAAAGCAATTGAAGAATTACCAGAAAAAGTCGACGTTGTTGAAGAAGTTGTAATGGGTAAAATAAAAACAAAGAAAATTAAAAAGCGCGTACTTAAAAAAGACAAAGATGGAAGACAAGAAATAACAGAAATAGTTACGATTGAAGAGGATGACCAAAAACCTCAAACCACTGTTACAACACTGGTTCACGACATTTCTAGCGTTCAACCGCTTGAAGAAGAAACGAAACCTCGTGACGTTGAAAAAACGAAGCCTAAGAAAATTAAACCTACTATAGTGGAATTGCCTGAAGTAAAGGTCACCGAAGTCGTCACAAAACAAGGAAAACCCGTTGAGAAAACAGTTACGAAGAAAGTCATCAAAAAACAAATAGGACCAATTCAAGAAATCACTAAAATAGAGACAGCAGAAGAAGAAGGTGAAGAACCTGTTACTACTGTTACAGTTGAAGAAATTATTGCAGACGAACCAATCGTTACGGAAGAAGCTACAGTAGTTGAAGAACTACCACAAAAGGTTGACGTTATTGAAGAAACTGTAATGGGTAAAGTAACAACAAAGAAAGTTAAAAAGCGCGTTATCAAAAAAGATAAAGATGGAAAGCAAGAAATAACAGAAATAGTTACAATTGAAGAGGATAATCAGAAACCTCAAACCACTGTTACAACACTGATTCATGACATTTCCAGCGTTCAACCACTTGAGGAAGAAACAAAACCGCACGAGGTTGACAAAGCAAAACGAAAGAAAATTAAACCTACTGTGGTGGAACTACCTGAAGTAAAAGTTACCGAAGTCATCACAAAACAAGGAAAACCCGTCGAGAAAACAGTTACAAGGAAAGTCATCAAAAAACAGATAGGACCCATTCAAGAAATCACTAAAATAGAGACAGCGGAAGAAGAAGGTGAAGAACCTGTTACTACTGTTACAGTTGAAGAAATTATTACTGACGAACCAATCGTTACCGAAGAAACTACACTAATTGAAGAACTACCGCAAAAGGTCGAAGTCGTTGAAGACGTAGTGGACGGCAAAATCACTAAAAAGAAAATTAAAAAACGAGTCATCAAAAAAGACCAAGACGGCAAAAAAGAAATTACAGAAATTGTAACTGTTGAAGAAGATGACAAAAAGCCTCAAGTTACAGTTAATGTTTTAGTTCATGACACTTCCCCTACAGAGATCCCTCAAGAAGAGGGAGAACCTCTTAAACCTGAACAAGCCAAACCAAAGAAAATCAAACCAACAATTATTGAATTACCGGAAGAGGTTGAAGTTACTGAAGTACAAACTCAAGAAGGCTTACCCAAAAAGAAAACGGTGACTAAAAAAGTGATCAAAAAGCAAACGGGTCCCATTCAAGAGGTGACCAAAATTGAAACTACTGAGGAAGAAGGTAAAGAACCTGAAACTAAAGTGACTGTTGAAGAATTTATAGCTGAAGAGCTTCCTGACGTTGCGGAAGCGACGATCGTTGAAGAACTACCCGAAAAAGTTGACGTAGTAGAAGAAATAGTGGGAGATAAAATTCAAAAGAGAAAAGTTAAGAAACGGGTAATAAAGAAAGACAAAGATGGTAAACAAGAAATTACAGAGATTGTAACCATTGAAGAAACAGACAAAAAACCTAAATCTACAGTTACTACTTTAGTCCATGATATTTCTTCAGAAGGTCCAATTGAACAAGAATCTTTCACTTCATTTGAACCCGATAAGAGACAACCAAAGAAAGTTAAACCCATAATAGTTGAACTTCCGGAGGAAGTTAAAGTAACGGAAGTAATAACTGAACAAGGGCCTGTGCAAAAGGTCACCACGAAAAGAGTAATTAAAAAACAAATCGGTCCGATACAAGAAATAACCAAAATTGAAACCGCAGAAATAGAGGATCAGGAGCCTGAAACAACTGTTACAGTTGAAGAATTTATTACAGATGAAATACCTGAAATCAAAGAGGCTCAAGTAATTGAAGAAAAGGAAGAAGTCGAAGTATTAAAGGAAAAGGTAGGTGATAAAGTGAAAGTAAAGAAAGTTAAAAAGCGCACCATAACAAAAGAAGTTGATGGTAAACCTGAAGTTACAGAAATTATTACTATACAAGAAGATGATAAAAAACCTAAGACTACTGTAAAGACTAGAACGCACGATATTGTCACTGCAGAACCACTGACAGAAAGTGTTCAACCATTCGAACCTGAAAAGATCAAGAAAAAGAAAATTCAGCCCACGATAGTCGAACTACCTGAAGAAGTAAAAGTTACCGAAATTATTACAGAGAGAGGACCGATAGAGAAAGTAACAACAAAAAGAGTCATTAAAAAACAAATTGGGCCTGTACAAGAAATCACTAAAATTGAAACAACTACCGAGGAAGACCAACCTCCTGAAACTACAGTTACAATTGAAGAAATTGTATCTGACGACATACCGGAAATAATCGAAGCCAAACCTGTAGAAGAAGTCGAGAAAGTTGATATCGAAGAAAAAGTAGTCGATGGCAAAGTGAAAAAGGTAAAGACTAAAAAACGTATCATTAAAAAAGATAACGCCGATGGTAAACAACAAATTACTGAAATTGTTACCGTTGAAGAAGATAACAAAGAACCTCAAACTACTGTCACAACTATCTTACATGACACATCGACCATTGAACCAATAGCTGAAGAAATGCTTAAAGCGTTTAAACCAGAAAAGACAAAACCTGAAACTGTTACTCCAACAATAATTGAATTTCCTGAAGAAGTTACAGTTACTGAAATAACAACACAACAAGGCGTACCCTCTAAAAAAGTTACCAAAAAGAAGATCATCAAAAAACAGGTAGGTCCTGTCGAGGAAATAACAAACATCGAAACCACTCAGGAAGGCGATGAAGAACCGAAAACCACAATTACGATTATCGAATTAGTTCCGGATGAACTTCCGAAATTTATCGAACTTAAGCCAACTGAAGAGCTTCCGGAAAAAGTCGAAGTAAGTGAAGAAGTGGTTGACGGTAAGATCAAGAAGAAAAAAATTAAGAAACAAGTCACCAAACGGGATGTAGACGGTAAACCTGAAATCACAGAAGTAATTACTGTACAAGAAGATGACAAATTACCCGAAATAACTGTTAATATTTACACATCTTACAACAATTTCACAGAACCACTGAAACTTGAAACTGTCACAGACTTCGATCAAACACCTGGTATACCACAACGTATAACTCCTAGTCTGACACCTCACACAACCACAAAAACCACTACAGAAGTACACACGCTAGAACATACAACAGAAACACCACTAGGTAAGAAATACAATTATTCTCTCCCACACTTTCAATACTTAACTCCCCAAAACATTAAAAATAACAAACACATTACCTAAAAATTCCTTTGATGATGAACAGTTCTATATTATAAACATATTTTAGGTGAGGTAACAGAACAAGCAATTACCGCTAAAGGAGAAGTAGTAACTGAGATTAAAGAACCAGTTATTGTGGAAACTGTCGAAACCCAAAAACCAATCGACGGTTACAAGCCGGAAGAAAAAGAAGCTCCCAAAGAAAAGAAAAAGGTAAAGAAACCAAAACCAAAGAAACCAGAAGAGAAACCCCTGATCGAAGAAGTGGCCGATGAAGAAGAAGAAGAAGCTGCCCCAGAACAAACAACCGAATTAAAGGAAACTGGTAGGAAAGTAGAGAAAATAAGGAAAGTGAAAACACATGAAATAGAATTCCAAGAAGCGGTTGTTGAGGAGATAACAACGAAACAAGAAAAGAAACCGAAGAAGAAAGTCAAAGTCCCAGCTGAAGAGAAACTCCCCGAAGAGGAGGTCACCGAAGAAATTATTGACGAATTCGGAAGGAAAAAGGTTATTATTCGAAAGGTCAAAACCGAAGAAAAACACTTCCAAGAAGCGGTAGTCGAGGAAGTTAAGGCGCTCGAAGATGTCACTGAAGAAGAAAAACCTGTAGTAGAAGAACCTACACCAGAAAAGCCCAAAAAGAAAGTTAAGAAACCTAAACCACAAGAAGAAGTTCCTCAAGAACCTGAAATTGAAGAGGTGGAAGAAGAAAAACCAGTGGAAGAAGCTCCTGAAGAAAAAGAGGTTCCTGGTGAGAAAAAGAAAAAGAAAAGGAAGGTTAAACCTGAAGAAAAGCCGGTGGAAGAACCAGTTGTCGAAGAGGAAAAACCTGAAGAAAAAGCTCCAGAAGAAATTAAGAAACCGGGCTTGCGCAAACAGAAATCCGTTCTCATGAAAATTGAACACGTGGAACAAGAACAACCCAGCAAATCCAAAATCGTACCAGTTAAGGACCTTCCTCAACATTTTGCAGAGATTAAGCTTCGTAAGCCAAAGGCTCCTGCAAAGAAAGATGTTCCGAAGACCAAAATACCAAAAATGCGACTCAAGAGTCGCATAGAATTTATAGAATTTCCCTCTCAGACTGAGAAAGAACAACTTCCAGTTATTAGTGAATTAGAACCAGTTTATAGAGACAATGGTGTTATATCAAGGAACATCAAAGAGGCGGAAGCTGCTCCAAAAACCAAGAAACGAAGGCTTAAGAACTTCGACAAAGAATTCAAGGACTTGGAAACATTAGATCTCGAAATGGGCGAAAGAGAGAAACCTGTGTTAGAGGAGGTCGATGATCAATACAGAGTTCAAAAACCAAAGAGAAAACCGTCCGTCCCCAAAGACGAACCGAAACCACTGAAAATTGGAGTCGGTAAAGTGCCTAAACCTGAAGAAGAAGACCAACAAGTTAAATTGAAAAAAGTTCCTGAAAAAATAACAGAAGAGAAACTGGAACCTGAAAAGAAACCCAAGAAAGAGGTCAAGGAAGAAAAACCCAAGAAACCTGAGAAACCAGAGGAAGAAGATGATCGCATCAAATTCAAGCCGTACGATATTGATCATGAAAAACCGGAAAAAATAGAAAGAGAGAAATTCGAATTGGAAGAACCAGATAAAGAGAAACCTGAAAAGAAGAAAGTCAAGGTTCCTAAAGAAAAGAAAGCAAAACCAGAACCCGAAGTCGATGAAATTACAATCAAGAAAGGTATACCTAAACCTAAAACAGAGGAAGAAGAGCCGGATGTTTCATTCAAAGCTAAACAAAAACCAAAACCAGAGGAAGAACCGGAAGAAATAAAATTAAAACCTTTCAAGAAGCCTAAAGAGCCGGAAGAACCACAAAAGGTGGAGAAAGAATTGCCTGCTAAACTCGACGCCGTTCCTTCTCATGATTTCGAAAAAGATGACATTGAGTTCAAGCCACCAGAAGATAAAGAGAAACCGAGAAAGAAGAAAAAGATCATCATCAAAAAACCAAAAACCAAAGGTAAGGTCGACGAAAAGGTAGAGGAACCTGAAATTGAGGAACCTGAAGAAGAAGTTCCGGAAGAAGAGGAAGAACTCATTCCTGAAGTTGAAGAAAAAACTCCTGAACAGGAAGAAATACTTGAACCTGAAGTCGAAGAGGTACCCGAAGCCGAACCAGTTCCCGAAGAAAAACCAGCTGAAAAACCGGCTGAGCCTGAAAAACGCAAGAAAATTATCAAAATCAAGAAACCGAAAGAAAAGCCTGACGAAGAGGAGATTAAACCAGCTGAAGAACAAGTAGCTGAAATGAAAGAAAAACCACAACGTCTGTTCATTATAAAGAAATCTACGCAAAAAGCACAATTTCTGCAGATCAGTGAACCAGAAAAAGTTAACTTCGCTGAAATTAAATTAAAGAAAACTAAAGTTGAAAAGAAAGAAGTCGAAGGGACTAAAGTTCAGTTACCAATGCTTAAGAGTCGCATAAAACATGAAACATTCCCACCATTATCTGAAACAGAACAAAAACCAATTATCGCAGATCTGGAACCGGTGTTCAGGGAGAACGGTGTTTTATCAAGAAACATAGAAGAAGCAGAAACAGTAAAGAGAAGGAAGAAGAAGAAGGTGGTCGTAGAAACAGAAAAACTAAAGCAATTAGATTTAGAAGTAGAAGAACTGAAACAGGCTGAACTCGAAAAAGTAGATGATGAGTTTAAAAAGAGACCTGAGGTGCGAAAGAAAGAGAAACCAGAACCTATTGTAATTGAACAAACAAAAGTTCCACCTGTACAGCACGTAAAGATCAAAGAACCAGAAAGCAAGCCGATCAATCTAGCAGACATCAAACTCAAACCACGAAAAGTTGTTCAAAAAGAGGTACCCAAAGAAAAGATAAAGAAACCAAAACTGAAGAGTAGGATTGAGCACGTTACTTTCCCACCAATCGACGAAATTTTACAGAAACCGAAAATTACAATACTTGAACCAGTCTACAGAGATAATGCCGTTATATCGAGGAATGTTGAAGAAGCGAAGAAAGTTAAAAAGAAGAAACCTATCAGAATCAAGGAAAGCGATATTGATTTAACACATCTGGAAAAGCTGGATTTAGAAATGGAGGAAATAAAAAAGAAAGAACTAGAAAAAGTAGACAGTCAATACAAATACGAAAGAAAACCAAAAGAAAAAGAGGAACCAGTTCCACAAGAAGAGGTTAAAATCAAACTTGGTAAAGGCAAAATACCAGAGCCACTTGGGCCGGACGAAACTGTAACACTGAAGAAAGTGCCACAAAAGCCAAAAGAAGAAGAAGTTGAAGTTGAATTAAAGAAACCTAAGGTTACAGAGAAGGAAAAACCGAAACCAGAAAAAGAAGAAAAAGAAGAACCAAAATTGGAACCGTTCAAACCGTACGATATTGATCACGACAAACCTGAAAAGTTAAAATATGAGCCCACAGAAATAGAAGAACCGAAAGAGGAAGAAAAGGAAAAGGAAAAACCAAAGAAACCTAAGGCAAAGAAAGAAAAACCAGAACCAGAGACGGTTGAAATGAAATTGGTTAAAGGTAAACCTAAACCTCAGGAAGAGGAAGAAGTACCAGAAATAAAACTGACATACAAACAGAAACCACCTCCAGAGGAAGTTCCTGAAGAAATAAAACTAAAACCAATTCCAAAAGAAAAGCCCGAAGAACCTGTCGAGGTAGTTAAAGTAATTAAACCTGAAGACGGAGAGATACCTAAAGAAAAGCCTGTGGAAAAAGACCAAGAAACTGTAACTCCAGGGAAAGAAAAGAAAGTCAAAAAGGTAATTATTAAAAGAAAGAAACCAAAAGAAGGACCTGAAGAAGAAGTGCCTGCTCCAGAGGAGCCTGCCGTTGAAGACGAAAAACCTGAAGAAATAATAGAACCAGAAGAAGAAATACCTGCACCCAAAGAAGAAGTCCCTGAAGAAAAACCTGAAGAAAAACCCGAAGAAAAGCCTGAGGAGAAGCCAGAGCAAGTACCTGAAGAAAAACCAGACGAAAAAACGGACGTTACCAAAATTAAAAAGATCAAGAAAACTGTTATAAAAGTCAAGAAACCAAAACCAGGAGAAGAAGAAGTTCCAGAGGAAGAACCTGTTATCGAAGAACCAGAAGAAGAGCTACCGAAACCCGTAGTAGAGGAAAAGAAAGTAGAAGAAGAAAAACCCAAACCTAAAGATGAACCTAAAGTGGAGGAACCGGCTCCCGTCGAAGTTAAAGCCAAACCTAAAGAGAAGGAAGAAGAACCAAAACCAGCTGAAGTCAAACCGAAGAGGCGTCCCGTGATTAAAAAACCTGAACCTAAAAAGGCTAAGCTGCCAAGATTAAAGAGTAGAATCGTATACGTAGAATTTCCTCCCGCCAATGAAGCGGAACAAAAACCAGTTATTACGCAACTGGAGAAAGTTGTGAAAGATCAAGGGCAAATATCGAGAAATGTTAAGGAAGCTGAAAAAATAATCAAGACAAAACGAAGAAAACCTAAAGATACCGACAAATCCCTGCTAGACTTGGAACAACTTGACCTTGAAATGGAAGAACTCAAAAAGAAAGAACTCGAAAAAGTGGATGACGCATTTAAGTTTGAAAAGAAACCAAAGAAACCAAAAGAAGAGGAAATAGAAGTTAAGGAATCTATAAAGATCGGCAAAGGAAAAGTTCCTGAAAAACCAGAAGACGAAGACGAAGCTATTAAGCTAAGAAAAGTTCCAGACAAAGTGAAAGAAGAGGAAGCTCCTAAAGAAAAGACGCCCAAAGTGAAAGAAGAAGAAGAAATAAAGAAAGTTAAAAAAGAACCTAAAGAAAAGAAAGATAAAATTGAATTTACACCAACTGATTACGAACGAGAAGAGCCAGAAAAGATCGAATTCGAAAAACCAGAATTCGAAAAACCAGAAAAAGAGATTCCTGAAGAAGAAAAGTCGAAGTACGAACGGCAGAAAAAAGAGAAACCCACGCCAGAAGAAAAAGAGCTTAAAATTATAAAGGGAGTTCCTAAAAAGAAAGAACCGGAAGAAGAAGAAGATGTGAAGTTTAGGATAAAACAAAAAGACAAACCAGAGGAAGAACCTGAACAAATTACGTTGAAGCCTTTCAAGAAACCAGAAAAGGAAGAACCTGAAGCTGAAGTAGAAATTAAAAAACAGGAACCACCCAAGAAAGCTGAAGATAAGGATGCTGAAAAAATAACTATTAAACGGAAAAAGAAGAAGGAACCTAAGGAGCCAGAAGAAGAAGCACCGGTTGAACTAACCATAAAGAAGGAACCTGAGAAAGAAGAAGAATTACCACCCACTGAAGAAGTAGTCATAATTAAAAAGAAACCAAAAGAACCAGAACCAACACCAGAGGAGCCAGAGGCAGAGATCGTAATAAAGAAACCTCCACCCAAACAAGAAGACGAAGCAGAAACAACGGTTCAACAAGTAATCATCAAAAAGAAAGTCAAGAAACCTGAGGAGCCTGTGGAAGAACCAGCCGCTGAAATTACAATTAAGAAAGAACCAGAACCCACGACAGAAGAAGTTACAACCGACCAGGTCACGATTGTAAAGAAGAAGAAAATTCCCAAGAAACCTGAGGTGCCTGTGGAAGAACCAGCCGCTGAAATTACAATTAAGAAAGAACCAGAACCCACGACAGAAGAAGTTACAACCGACCAGGTCACGATTGTAAAGAAGAAGAAAATTCCCAAGAAACCTGAGGTGCCTGTAGAAGATGTAGCTGCTGAAATAACAATCAAGAAAGAACCGACACCAGAAGAAAAAACAGAAGAGGAAGAGGTCGCAGAAGTTGTCTTTAAGAAGAAACCAAAGATACCTGAAGAACCTAAGGAAGAACCTGAGGCAGAAATAACAATTACAAAGAAACCAGAACCGGTCGTAGAAGAGGTCACAACCGAGCAAGAAATAAAGATTCCAAAGAAGAAAAAGAAAGAACCAAAACCAAAGGACGAAGTTGCTGCAGAAATAACAATCAAGAAAGCTCCTGAACCCGAAGAGAAACCTGAAGAACCAACAGTTGAAGAAGACATCACCATTAAAAAGAAACCTGCTCCTAAGAAGGAAGAGGACGAAGCTGAAGCTGAACTAACTGTTAAAAAACTCGAAGTTCAAGAACCGCCAGAGGACGTCGTTCAGGAATTCACTATAAAGAAGAAAGCACCTCCACCACGTGTACCATCCGTTGAAGAGCACGACGAACAAGAAGTAACCATTAAGAAATTAAAGAAAGTTAGAAAACCTTCCAGAACAGACATTCCGGAATACACTGAAGTAGAAAACGTCACATTCCGACCGAAAACAACAAAACGATTAGAAGATGTGGAACAAGAATTCAAGATTTCACTTGATTCATATGCAGAAGAAGAAATATCGATGTCAGGAAAGGTCAAGCTGAAAAAGCCCAAGCCTCTGACTTACAATGAAGAAAGTGTAGGTGAATCAATTAAAATTACGCAAGAAATCGAAGCAGAAGAGGGACAAATTGAAGAAATCATTGATGAAGGAAGTGACGCTGAAGAACTACCATACGACGATGACGAATCTGAAAGTTACAATGTTCCTCTACGTAGACCTTCTAGGAAATATTCTATACTTGAAGAAGGAGAGGAAGAGGTGCAACTTGGCTTAAAGAAAGAAATTCCCTTTGGTTTTGATGAGGAATCTATAACCTTGAAACGGAAGCAGAAGAGGAAACCATCATTCGATCAAGGTTGTATTTATATATTTTCGGTTACAGCACCGCTTGGTTCACATTTCAGCTTTTATTCTTTATTTGCACCATTTTTTTTATTTTTTTATTTTCTTCATGCATACCATATTTATTACGTGCCAGAGTGATGGAGTGTTTGGTAACAAAGTTATCATTTCTAGAAGCGGTAAGTTTAAGTATTACAAAAGAATCAGAAACCATCGACGAAGCACCAGAAATTCAAGAAATTATTCAAGAAGGTGACGTCTACTTTTCCGTTCATTCTTACGTAGCGGAAGCAGAACAAGCCATCGATCTTGTTGAAGGTGAAAGAGTTTACGTTATAGAAACTCCAAACGCCGACTGGTGGCTCGTTAAGAAACATTTAACAGAGGAGAAAGGTTGGGTACCTGCACAAATCCTCATGGACGAACCAAACTACACCATGTACGTCCAAAAGAAACTCAACGAAAAGATCGACAAACTTCCAGTCTTTGAAAGTGAGTATTCGACCTACATTTACTCTGTAACTTCAAACGTGCGTTTCAGAGCCCAAACCCGAAGAAAAATCTGTAGCTCCACGATTCATAGAAAAACTCCAACCCGTAATCACTCCCGACGGCTACACCGTCCAGTTTGAATGCCAAGTCGAAGGTTTCCCACGACCTCAAATCACATGGTTCCGTCAAACCGCAGTGATCAAAACATCGATTGACTTCCAAATGTTCTACGACGAAGACAACGTAGCGACTTTGATCATTAAAGAAGTGTTCCCTGAAGATGCAGGAACCTTCACTTGTGTCGCCAAGAACGCAGCTGGTTTTGCTTCAAGTACCACGGAACTAATCGTAGAACTACCACTATCAGATCATGGTTCCGACATCACCGGCTTATCGAGAAAGAGCATGTCACGTGAATCATCTCTCGCAGACATTCTGGAAGGCATCCCTCCTACATTCTCCCGTAAACCCAAACCCCAATACGTTCCAGAAAAATCTGATGTAGTTGTCGACTGCCGATTGGTCGCTGTACCAGAACCTGAAATAATTTGGTTCCGTAACGGCAGAAAGATCACCACGAAGAATAACGTCACTATCATCATCAATTCTGACATGCACAGTTATACCACTATTCTTAAAATTAAAGAAGTTGAAAAGAACCAAGAAGGCGAATATGAGATCGTAGCAAGGAACAGAGAAGGTGAATCCACTGTGCAATTCACCCTTAAAGTAAAGACCGGTGATAAGGAAGCACCACAAATTTTGGAACCCTTGAAATCGATTACTGTTAGGAAAACTGAAACTGTGATACTTAGCACTACCATTGCTGGCAATCCTGCACCCACGATTAGTTGGTTCAAGAACGGGAAACCTGTTAAGAAACCCACACCTAAGAAAGACGGCGACACCTATTCCATCACCATTGTTAACACGACTATGGAAGACACAGCTGAATATACTGTGAAAGCTAAAAACTCAGTTGGTACCGCTGAAACAACAGCTCAACTCACTGTTGAGGGTAAAGTCATTTACCGTTTTTCCCGCTTGTACCGCTTTTCAAATAAAGAAACACAATTAAATATATTAAAATTTTATTTCGCTGGCTACTTATCCCTCGATTTTGGCTGTCACTACAAACTCTTTAATGGTTTTACTTTTCAGAATTCCCAGACAACGCAGAACCGCCACTCTTCGTCGAACGATTCGAGGAACAAACTGTACCTGAACACGACACCATCAAGCTACTCGCCCGTGTTGTCGGCAACCCAGTCCCAGAAGTCTATTGGTTACGCGACAACAAACCTCTGAAGCCATCAGAAAGAGTGAAGATCTCGTACGATGGCGAAAATATTGAACTCACTATCAAGAAAGCAGACGCTGACACAGACACCGGTGATTACAAATGTATCGCGAGTAACCCAGCTGGTAAAGCTTCACATGGTGCTAAAATCACGGTAGACGTTGATGTTACCTTCACGAAGAAACTCAAGAAGACTTACGAGTGCAAAGAAACTGAGAAGATCGAGTTCGAATGTGAAACTTCTCACAAGACGACTGAAACCAAGTGGTTCCACAATGACGTCGAAATCAGTGGAATGGATCACAGAGTGGTGATTCAAAACGGCAGAATACACAAACTCGTAATCAAGAAGACCACCACGAGAGACGAAGGTCACTACAGATGTACCGTCAAGAAAGAAAAGACTGAGACTACGCTTAAGGTTATTGAAACTAAACCGAAATTCATACGAGAACTGCAAGATATAGAAATTCCCGAAAAGGAGGTCGCAGTTTTGGAAGTTGAGGTGTCTTCGGATGCGGCTGACGTAACGTGGTTTAAGGATGGAACCGTTATTAAAGAAACTGACACTAAATATGTCATCGAGAAGGAGAGAGGAGTGCGGAAGTTGTTGATTAGAAGCACTTCCATCCACGATGAGGGTGAATACAGTTGTACCCTGCTCGATCAAGAAAGTAAAGCGGAAGTAACCGTCATAGAACTGCCACCAGAGATCATTACCCCTCTGCAAGACAGAACTGTAATCAGGGGCGAAAAATCCGTCTTCGAAATCGAGTTAAGTAAAGGAGATGCTTTAGTACGATGGTTCAAAGATGGTACCGAAATTCAGTTCTCAGAACACATTCAGTTATCTATTGATGGTAAACGCCAGAAACTGAAGATCTATAAATCGGAACCTGAAGATGAAGGTGTCTACAGTTGTGAAGTCGGTACCCAGAAAAGCAGTGCACGCTTGACCGTCCAAGTACCAACTGTGACTTTCTTGAAGACTCTTCCAGAATACACCATAGTTCCTATTAAATCCAACGCCGAGTTTGAAGTGGAACTCTCAAGAGAAGACGCAGAAGTCCAATGGCTGAAACAAGGCAAGAAGATCAAAAAATCTTCCAAATACACCTTCACCTCGGAGAAGACGTTCAGAAAACTCGTCGTTCACGAAGTTACTGAAGAAGATCTGTTCGAGTACACCTGCACGGTTGAAACTCTCAAAACATCGTCCAAACTCAAAATTGGAGGTGAGTAGAGTACTTATTTGTACAAATCATCCCCATGATTGGTGTTTTCAATTAGATAAACCGTCTCCTCCGAGAGGACCTTTGGAGGTTTCTGGCATGTCTGCCACTTCGTTCACTTTGAACTGGTCACCTTCAGAAAGCGACGGTGGTTCCCCCATCATCGAATACATCGTTGAAATGAAAGAAGCCACCTCGAAGAAGGCCTTCAAGAAGGTCGGTGCTACCAAAGGTGATATCACTAACATTCCAGTCAGTAACTTAGAAAAGGATCACGGTTACAAATTCCGAATAACTGCTAGAAACTCCATCGGTGTAAGCGACCCTTACTTACCCGAAGATATCATAGTCGCAGGTTCCAGAATCAGTAAGTACCACCCACTTGCAACCAAACCCAGCTTCCGCTTTTTCGCTTTTGCTAGGGATAAAATACGAATTTGCTAAGACAGACGAGACGCTTTATTGCTTGCTAGGCATATTTCCGCCCACTAAACTGACCACAAGCAGTGAGTACCACTTTGGTGTCGAACAACGACTAAAACCTCCATTTCAGCTCCACCATCGCCTCCAGTCAATCTCACTGTGACCGACATCCAGAGTCGCAGTGCAACCCTCACATGGGAACCTCCTCTAAACAACGGAGGAACCGAAATCACAGGTTATGTGGTAGAAAAGCGACTAGAATACGTCGCCAAATGGGAGAAAGTGTACACTTTAGAAGCAAACTGCCTCACATACACATTCGAGAACCTCAAAGAGAAGAGCGAGTACCTCTTCAGAGTATTCGCTGAGAATTCCATCGGTTTGAGCGTACCAGCAGCTACTGAGGTCGTGAAACTCAGAAGTCATGCCAGTAAGTCCAAGTATAGCTTCGAAGCCACCACTAAAACGTGTGTTTCAGCGGTACCATCACCTCCCACGCCCCCACTGGAAATCCGCACCATCGGTCCCAACGCCATCGTTATCGAATGGGGTGTCCCAGAATGGGACGGCGGTTCTCCTCTTCTTGGTTACAATGTGGCCATTAGAGACACCAAGAAGACCATGTGGATGGAAATTGGGCGCGTCAACAAGGGAGTGCAGAAATTCACGATTCGAGACCTCCAAGAAGACCACGAGTACATGATTAGGATTTTCGCGAAGAATGAGATAGGTTTGAGTGAACCTTTGGAGTCGGATGAGCCCTTCAAGGTCCTTCCTTCGGGAGGTAATTGTTTGGTTGATTTTAATGTCGTGTTTGTACCGCTTTGTCCCGCAGATGCCGACCAAGACGACTTCAGAGAGGCCACCGACAAAGAACCTACTTCGTACAGTACAGAAACGACGACATCTTGGCTGAGAGAAAACAGTATGGACGCTGACATCAGTTCTTACGCTAAAGGTCAGCTCTTACGCAAGGATGAATATTTCTTCCGGATTTGGTGTCACGCCAAAAAACTATTTAAGTAAACTGTAATATATTTGAAGTTACTTTTTAGATGTATATAATTTCGTTACGATTAGTTATTGTTTGTTACCAGACCTTTTATAATGATTTTGACTATAACTGACTTAGGAATGAGAGCTTATCATTAAAGTGTACTTAAATAAATTTTGCAAATTGCGAGGCAAACTAATCGACTTTAATGTAAGCTCTGTTTGTTTTACTTGGATACTGTGATACTGATGATGATTTTACTCAAATGAAACGAAAAACGAATTAAAAATGAATGAGTTGTTGCTTAAATTTGCTAACAAGTTTTTCAACTGTATACGAAACACTTTTGATTTTTGTTTGATTTTTATTTTTGTTGTATAAGCTTGAACGACGAATGCAGTGCCTTATTAATGATTATTTATTATCTACAGTACTTGTTTATGTAAACCAAAACTGATATTAAATATACTTGCCAATTTTCGCAGAGAGAAAATATAGGTGCATTTTAAGATCGATTACAGAAAATTGGGGATTATATTCAATATTCTCTTGTACTTAATTACCGTTATTTATTAAAGAATAAAAAATATGTTGCCTTTGATTTAACAAAATGTTCCCAGATTCTTGGTAAACATACTTCAAGTTCGTTGTATCTATCAAAATATTTAAAAACTGGGTAATTCCAGGATAGGTTAGGAGCGATAGCGTGACGAAGGGCGTCCCCTCGTGAAAGTCTATTTATCCTGAGCATAGCCACAACACGCGCCATAGGTTTTAATCGCTGGTAGTTCCATCCCCGCAAAGGACGCAATCAACTAAGCAGCCTGATTCATTCGGGTTGAAAATCTAGTATTTCAGATAAATATCAACATGAAAACTAAAATTAATTACCTAAATTTGGACGATTCTTTCAAAATAGATCAACGTTTATAACTTATATAAACTGATAAATTATCACGCGCACTCGGGACTTAACACGCTCACTAATAAAATTTCACTACAAAAAAAATCCTACCTTTATAGCTTCTTCTTCTGCTATTATTTGTAGCGATTCCCCTCATCTTCAATATACGGACTTACTGTAAATAAAGAAAATTTTAGTTCAACAGAAGTTTATCTTTTGAAATTTTAATATAGTAATACAGGTCTTTTTTATTTAAAATTTGTTCAATTCAACATTACATTAGCGTTTCTAGTTTCTAGGTTTCCAGTACTTCGTAAATTCTTACGCCACACTTTATAAATTTTTAACTCCATAACTTACAAGCAACGCTTATACGAGTTGATTTCACTAGTAATTTCAATTTGAAAATTGAAAAGTCTAAAACTGAAAAAAGGGAAAATTGAAAAATCCAAAATTAAAAAAATCAAAAATCAAAAATTCAAAAAATCGCAAAGTTTAACAACCGAAAAATTGAAAAATCGAGAAATCGAAAACGAATGAAACCAATTGAAAATTCGAATATCGAAAAAGAATTGAAAATTCCATGCATCAAACATTTTCAGTAACATGAAAATCCAAGAAACCAGGAAACCGAAAATTCGAAAACCTAAAAATCGAAAATCGAAAAGCCGCAAAATCAAAAATTCGAATATCGAGATTTAGAAAAATCAAAAAAATCGAAAAATTAAAATTAAAGAAAAATAATAAAAATCGAAAAACCGAAAAGTTAAAAAATCGAAAAAACGAATAACAGATTTCGAAACATCGAAATACTAAAAAACAAAACATCGAGAAATCAAAAAATCGGAAAGTAAAAAAAACGAAAAATCGAAAACCTGAACAACGGAATCGAAAAATTAAGACCCGATTTATAGAAAGCGAAGTTAAAGTTAATTCGCGATTAACTTTTAATTGAGGTCCGTTGCGAGGCAACGCGCATGTTTGGACCAATCACGGGCTCATATTCCACATTTTAATTCTCTGTTAAACTAATCGAGGATTAAATATTTAACTCGCTGTTCTATAAACCGGCCCTAAGAAATCTAAAAGTAAAAAAATTGACAACTCTACAACCTGAAGAATGTAAAATTAGAAAAATCGAGAATTCGTGTCTCGAAAATTCGAGAAATTAAATAATCCAAAACTTAAATAAATGAAAAATCGAAAAGCTGGACGACTGGAAAAATTGAAAATCAAAATGTAAAAAAAATTAAAATATTAATATCGAAAGAATGAAACGTGATAAAATTGAAAAGTCTAATAAAACTGAAAAGTGGAAAAATTGAAAAATCGAGAATTAAAAAAATCAAAACTCGAAAATTTGGAAAAACGGAAATTAGAAAAATCGAAGAATTGAAAAATTGGAAAATCGAGAATTCGAAAAGGAATTAAACAATTTGAAAATTCAAAAATCTAAAAAATTAATAAATGAATCAAATCTTCGAAAATCCGAAAATCTGAGAAGTCGGAAAACCGAAAATTCGAAAATCTAATGAAGTAGAAAATAGATAAACCGAACAAACAAAAATTCCAAAAAACGAAACACCGAAAGTTGAAAAATCGAAAATTCTAAAATCGACGAATCAAAATTTTAAAAATTAGAATATCGAAAAATCGAAAATTCGAAAAATCGAAAACTTGGACATTCCAAATTTGGAAAATCGAAAAGCCGAAAAGTTGAAAAATCGAAACAGTGAAATATTGAAAAACTGAAACATCGAGAAATCGAGAAATCGAAAAATAAAATGATCGAAAAGTAAAAAATATAAAAATACGAAAAACTGAAGAATAGAGGTGAAAATTTGAGAAATCTAAAAGTAAAAAAATTGACAAATCTAAAAATTGAAGAATGTATAAAAATTAAAAAAATTGAAAATTTGAAAAATCGAAAAGTAGAAATATTGAAAATTCGAGTATCAAAAATCGAAAATTCGAAAAATCAAAATACTTACAAATTCAAAATAACTGAGAATTAGAAAAACGGACGAATAGAAAAATTGAAAATCGAGAGGTAAAAAAATTTAAAATTTTAATATCGAAAAATCGAAAAGTAAAAAAATTGAAAAATCTAAAACCAACGAATCGAAAAAATTCAATCAAAAATTTAAATAATCGAAGAATTGAAAAACTGAAAAATAGAGAAATCGAAAAGCAATGAAACAAATTGAAAATTGGAATATTGAAAAAAAATCGAAATCTACGAAAAGTTACAAACACGAATCTAATTTATGCACAAATTGTTAACACTAAATTTAAAAATAGGAAGAAAATTGGAACTTTTAAAACGCCGCCACGAACAGGAAAAATTACCATCTCATCCAAAAACGCAAAAATACGAATCAAGACCCGCTAAATTAAAACTCAAAACGTACTTATACCGTTTTCGGACCTTTATGGAAAAATATTCTCGACGAGGACACTTCCCTTCCTGTACAAAGCACGAACACAACACATTTTCACTAATAATAATTATTATTAATAATAAATTAAAATAAAAAAACGCGAAAACGCGCTACTTCAAAAGTGAACACAAAGGATCGAAAAACATGACATCCACTCGAGTAGATCACGCAATAATCACGACATTGTACGTTACAATGAGAAAGCCAAAATTATTTTTCATATTTTGGTCACTAAATTGCACATTTTTGGGGTTAATTTAACAATGTTTAAATAGATTGATTTATTTTTAATAATTTCGTGTTTGTAGGAAAACGCCTTTCGGTGTGATTAAGATATATTAATATTGTTGTGTAATAATTAATTAGTCTTACTTTTATATAGATTGTAAATCTAGTTAGATAGAAGTGTAAATAGTTAGCTATGAAACAGGGAATATAAGGTAAATAAGACAAAATTTTGAAATAAAGAATTTTTGAAAACCTACGAATTTAAATATAAAACATGGCGTTGCGAACACTAAATAAGTAAAGAACAGTTAAGTAAAAAAGAAGAGAAATTACAGAAAATATTTACAATGGATTTTAACAAGTCGGCAGCTTTAAGGCTTGACGGCAACCTGAAGAAAAACATTAGAATTTTTAAACAAGAAATTGAGATTTTTTGATGCGACTGAAACGAGATGTAAAGGGATGAAGGTATGTACAAGTAGCTAGACTTTTGAACTTAATGGGTGCGGACCAATTTTCAATGCAACACAATATACATCTATCAGTTATTGTTAGATTCCAAAATAAACACATACGATTTTAGGATCCACGTAGGTAATCTCCTTACTAGTTGTCACTGTTCCTGAAAGTCGTCAATCAAAATTTCACAAATGAAATATGTATTTAAAAAAAACACCAACATATTAATTCAAAGAAATGTAATAAATAAATTGAACAATTAAATAAATTTAAATAGCGTAAGTACGCACATTTCGATGCGATTTAAGCAAGACAACCGTAATCTTCAAAATTACGAATAGGACTTTGGTAAACCTGTTCTTTTACAACCCCCCAGAGGAAGAAATCTAAAGGTGTTAAGTCGGGACTACGAGGGGGGCATGCCTTCACACTGCCTCTGCCAATCCACTTATTTGCAAACGTCTCATCAAGATAGTCCCCAACGACTCTGTGATAATGAAGTGGTGCCCCGTCCTGCTGAAACCACAGCTCTTGTCGGAAGTTGAGAGGAACATTTTCTAATAACCCCGGAAAATAATTTTCCAAAAATTATCGATTCCTGTGTCCTGTTAAGTAGCCTTCGAAGAAATATGGGTCAATTACGTAATCTGTCCACACATTTATAGAATAAACATTTTGAAAATGAGCTGTTCTGATACAGTGTGGGTTATTTTGGGAGTAATAGTGACAGTTGTGCCGATTAACAACCCCGTTATTGTCAAATCTTGCTTCATCGCTGAACAAAACTTTGAACTCTAGTTGATGTTGCATAAAATTGCAAAATTGTATTCTTCTGGGAAAGTCTTCTTTTAGATCTTGTACTAATGTCACATGGTAAGGATGGAACTCATTCGCTCTCAAAATTTTTGAAAGGGAAGATCGACATATTCCTACGTGTCGTGTTATAAATCTTAGGCTCACATGCGGGTCATTGTCTATGGCTTCAATTACACGAATTTCATTTTCGACACCAGTAGCCAGTAGTCCTCCATTTCTTGTTTTTTTCGGCCAATTTTGTCTTAACGTTTTTTCTAAACTACTGTGGCGGCACAATAATACGTAGTAGTAAGCGAAGAAAGATAAGCTCCTCCGTAGTCTAGTGGTAAGGTCACCCCCCCGGCAAGCGGTAAACGTGCGGTTCGATTCCCACCGGAGAAGCAACATTTTTCTTCGCTAAAGATCGCATCTAAAGATTTAATCGGATGGATGTCGGCTATCGGGATATCTTCTTTCGTAGAGATTTGCTGCTACAACAGCATTTTTTCCGCATTCTCCATCAACCTTTTCATCGTTCGTGTATTTAACCCTCATCTTATCGCAAAAACTTAAAACTGATCGGAGCTCAAAATTGACAAATAGAATTATTGCGAAAGTCAAAATTAACTACTAGATAACTATACATTTGTACATTTTATAAACATGAAATAAAAAGAGTTACATATGAGATATGTATTTTGTGTTGCAGTGAAATTTATTTTATAATACTCACCCTGTATATTTGGGATTTTTCTAAAAAGA